TACATGTAAATTACGTTGTATTTTATTGTCTGAATTATTGTATTTGGAATAAGAACTAACTTTCGCCGGTTAATTTTAAAAATAAATCGTACAAATATATTGACCAATCAAAAAAGGGCTTTCCCTAAGAATTTCAAGTCGTATGTAAACTTCCGGCCCCCTTTTGGCGATTTCTCGGAATGTTGAAGCAGTAGGTCGAGTTTGACGAGGGATTTTCAATATTTGCAAGTGTGATGCGCCTTTCTGGTTGCAGTGTCCGTAAGTTTAGACATCGAAAGACTGGCCACAGAAAGAATATGGCTGCAGGGAATTTATTTGACGGAGTTTCAGACGAAAATACAAGTGATGACCTACTTCAAAAATCCAAGATGGCGGCTTTCGATGGGTACCTTGTTCATTATTAGGTATGTGTATATTTTTTTTTATTAAAAGAAAAATAAGTAACGTCAGGTGCCTGTGATATACTCATCTTTTTCGTGATTTCCTCTTCTATGTCCTCTTCAGATAAGGCGTCTAATATTCGTTCATCTAGTTCTTGTAGAGTTTGCCTTTTCTGTGTTAGGGACTTCCTAATTATTTTGATTTCCTCCGTTACTTCATTGGCTGTATTTTCTTTCAAGTCCAAAAATCGTCCGAAAAGTTTCGTTACCGCTGATCTGTAACCGGCCCGTATGGCTTTCAGTCTTCCTTCCATTGTGCGTATATTATGTAAACATTCCGTCAATCACAGCACCAAAATGTTGTGGAAAGAATAGAAATGCGTCTTGATCGTATAGTGGTTTATTTAAGACTCTGTTATTAACTATAGAAACATAACATACAGTATTGTGACGTAACAATAACGTTAACGTGCGTTACATAAACCCGCGGATAATCCGTGACAATATTCTTGTTTTATCAACTTGCTTGTCCATAATTTATCTCGTTTAAGAAATTCTTCTTACATAGAGCACTGATGTTTTGGACATATGTTGGAGGTCCATGTTTGCACTGCTCCTGTTTTGTATTGATTTATGGACTTTGAGATTGAATACTGTTCGTTATCTCCATAGTATGATATTATCTTTCTTGATGTATGCTTTGATGCAAAACTCCCTGCTGAGGACACATCTGTTCATAATCATTTGACCTTAGTCAATCTTGCTGCATCAGTGTTTATTGTTTACTTCTGTTGGAATATAAAACCCCCAAAAAATACATGTGGTAAACATTTTATGCTGTTAAATTTCAGCTACATTTTATTTAATTTTTAAAATTTTTATGCTCCGCCATAAATATGGCCGGGTCATATAGTGTTAGTCATGTCAGTCTTCCATCCTTCTGTCACACTGCATTTAGCCGAGACTGTTCAAAGTTCAGTTTCAAAGAAGCTATCCAAGATATTTTCATCAAACTTCATATGCTGGTAGATATTGATGAGAGTTTTTTTTTACTTTGACCTTGACCTTTTATTAAATAAATGTTAGGTCAGTATTTGACATACCATTCAAAATGATGTTATCAAACTTCACATGTTGATACATTCTGATGAGAGCTTTTCAACTGCATCACTATTTTGACTTTGACCTTTCCTTTGACCTTGACCTCAGATATCGTTAATTTATTGTTTAGCTCAATTTTAAAGATACCATTCTAGATATTTTTATCAAACTTCGTATGTATGAATAAGTATTAATGAGAGATATGCAACTGCATCAACAATTTTGACTTTGACCTTTCCTTTGACATTGACCTAACTTTTCTTGAATCAGTGTCAAACCTCGTATGCTGATACATACTGATGTAAGCAATTCAATCACATCAACATTTTTCCTTGACATTTTATTTGACCTTGACTTTTCCTTTGATGTTGATCTCACTTATCTTTAATTAGATTTTAGCTCATTTTTAAAGATACCATTCAAGATATTTTATCAAACTTCATATGATGTTAAATACTGATGAGAGCAATTCAACTGCATCAGCATTGTCTGGCTCACCTGAGCCAAAGGCTCAAGTGAGCTTTTCTGATCACATTTTGTCCGGTGTCCGTCTGTCTGTCTGTAAATTTTTCACATTTTCATCTTCTTCTCAAGAACCACTAGGCCAATCTCAACCAGGTAGTGTAAATTCAAGTTTGGTCAAATCATGACCCCCGGGGGTAGTGCAGAGCCACAATGGCTGACCAAATTTTTTCATAGACATATATAGGAAAATTCTTTAAAAATCAACTTCTTAAGAATAGCAAAGCCATTATTGGCATGGGATTACTTTTGGATTTAAACTTTTCAATAATAAACCAATTTCTACTTTTTCCTAGCCACACAGCTCAGGTGAGCGATGTGGTCCATGGGCCTCTTGTTACCTTGGCTTTTTATTAGTTCACCTGAGTAAACTCAGGTGACCTATTGCTATCACTTTTCGTCCGTCGTCGTTCGTCGTGCGTCGTGCGTTAACATTTAAACATTTTCAGCTTCTTCTCTGAAACCACTGAACCAATTTCAACCAAATTTGGCATATAGCATCTATGGGTAAAGGGGAACAAAAATTGTGAATTTCATGGGCCCTGCCCCCCTGGGGCCTGAGGGGTGGGGCAAAAACCACTAAAATTAGTGCAATCTTTAAAAATCTTCTTCTTTACTCCTGGACATCAAGCAGTCAAACTGTTTGCATGATTGTAATCAGCATTGAGTCCTCTACCAAAATTGTGAAATTCATGGCCCTGGGGTCAGGGGTTCTGGTGTTAGGGTGGGGCTAAATAAGTATATAGTGAAATTACATGAATTCTTTGAAAATCTTCTTCTCTGCTCCTGGGTATTAGATAAACTAACTAAGTGCATAGTTATGATGAACAAGAGTGCCTCTACCAAAATTGTGAATTTTATGGCTCAAGGGTCAGGGGTTCTGGTGTTAGGGTGGGGCTCTATGGATTATATAGTGAAAATACATAAATTCTTTGAAAATCTTCTTCTCTGCTCCTGGATATTAAATAAACCAACTAAGTGCATAATTATGATGAGCAAGAGTGCCTCTACCAAAATTGTGAATTTTATGGCCCCAGGGTCAGGGGTTCTGGTGTTAGGGTGGGACTCTATAGATTATATAGTGAAATGTCATGAATTCTTTGAAAATCTTCTTCTCTGTTCCTGGGTATTAAATAAACTAACTAAGTGCATAGTTGTGATGAGTAAGAGTGCCTCTACCAAAATTGTGAATTTTATGGCCCCAGGGTCAGGGGTTCTGGTGTAAGGGGGGGGGGGGGCATCATAGATTACATAGTGAAAATACTTGAATTCTTTGGAAATCTTCTTCTCTGCTCCTGGGTAATGAAGAAACTAAATAAGTGCATAGTTATGATGAGCAAGAGTGTCTCTACCAAAATTGTGAATTCTATGGCCCCAGGGTCAGGGGTTCTGGTGTAAGGGGGGGGGGCTCTATAGATTATATAGTGAAATGTCATGAATTCTTTGAAAATCGTCTCTGCACCTGGGTATTAAATAATCTAAAGGTATTATGATGAGCAAGAGTGCCTCTACCAAAATTGTTAATTTTATGGCCCCAGGATCAGGGGTTCTGGTGTAAGGGGGGGGGGGGCTCTATAGATTATATAGTGAAAATACTTGAATTCTTTGAAAATCTTCTTCTCTGCTCCTGGGTATTGAATTAACTAACTAAGTGCTTTGTTATGATAAGCAAAAGTGCTACTACCAAAATTATAAATTCGATGGCCCCAGGGTCAGGGGTTCTGGTGTAGGGAGGGGGGGGGCTCTTTAGATTATATAGTGAAAATACATGAATTCTTTGAAAATCTTCTTCTCTGCGTCTGGGTATTAAATAAACTAAATAAGTGCATAGTTATGATGGGCAAGAGTGCTTCTTCCAAAATTGTGAATTTTTTGGCCCCAGGGTCAGGGATTCTAGTGATAGGGTGGGGCTTTATTGATTATACAATGAAAATACACTAAATCTTTGAAAGTTTTCTTCTCTGCTCCTTGGTATTAAGCAGATGAACTACCTATGTAGTTATGATGAGTAAGGGTCCTAATCTTCAAGAATTGTAAATTTCAAGGCCCCAGGGTCAAGGGTACCATAAAGGAGGGGGGGGGGCTGTACTTATATACTGAAACTGGATGAATTGTTTGAAATCTGCTCCTTGGTATTTATCAAATATTTTTGAAAAGCAAGGATGCCTTTTCAAAAATTGTGCAATGTGTGGATCCAGGCCTAAGGGTCAGGGGTTCATGTGTGATAGGGGCATTACTGATCATGCTGAATATTACTGATTACTTGAAATGCAGCTTTTGTTCCCCTACCCTGCCTATGGGTATTAAGTAAACAAACTAAGCAACTGCTAAGTGTATTGTTATGATGATCAATGGTGCCTATTTCAAAATTGTGAATGCCATAGCATCTGGATTAAAACATGAATCAAATTCAATCACTGGAAAGTTGTTGCATAATGTTCAGGTGACCTATAAGGCCCATGGGCCTCTTGTTTGACCTTGACCTCACTTTTCCTAAATCTGTGTCAAACTTCATTTGCTGATAGAGCTTTTCAACTGCATCAACAGTTTTTGATCTTGGCATTTCTTTTGACCTTGACCTCATTTTAATGAAATTAATGTGAAACTTCATACGTTGATACATACTGATGCAAGCAATCAACTGAATCATTATTCAAGATATTCTGATCAATTTTCATACACTAATACAAATTCTGAATTCATGTTGCATTACTAATATACCCTCGGTGGAGCATTCATGTACTACGGACATATTTCTAGTCAGACATTTTTTCATCTAAACAAAATTTTTAAAAATAATTTTGTCTTGATTAACTGGTTATTCAGGTATTGGGATGCTTCATATATCTGGACAAATTTACTAGGAACCAAAATGTCCGGAAACATTAGGTTCCACTGTACCTTGTACTGCGTTTGGTTCTTTGTTGTTTTTTTTTATTAATTTTTAAAATCTGCTTGAAAATAAAAAAAATACTATTTTGTAATTTTATTTTTCAGTTTAGATGCTACAAATTCAAAACGTCAAGGAAGATATGCCAATGATGCAGCTTCTGGAGATGTTCTGCGGAATGCAGTAATGAAATGTGTACCAAACAACAGATTGCCTTATTTGGCTCTTTTTGCTTCAAGGAATATAGGTGTAGGAGAAGAAGTTAGATATGATTATGGAGTTAAAGACCTTCCCTGGAGGAAACAGGTACTGAATAAATTTCTTACTATTGAATACTTAGTAATGAATACAGGATTTTTGCTTATGCAATATGCCTGAAGTCACACATATCAGCCCTGCAGGTCTGATATGGATCCATGAGGCTGATTCGGATCAATATCACACCCTTAGTAAACCAAACCTAAAAAAACAGTACTTGTGATAGTACACATATTCTTTTGGGCTACATATACTTTTTATTTTAACTTTTTGATTGTAAGGATGATTGATTTGACAAAAGATTATATTATTTCTGTTTCAAACTTTGGAGCAGGCACATTTGAGATAGAAGTAGAAACATACCCAAACAGTGTTAGACAATAATTAAGCTATTTACATGTCAGAAGGCTGTTTATAGTTATTATTTATTTATTTTTTTCTCTTTAATTCTCTATTGATAAAATATATATGACATGTCATGAACTTTAAAAGTTTGCTATATATTTACTTTGTCTGTATGGTTGTTAATATTCAGTTTGCTTTTAAGGTCACCTGAGTATACTCAGGTGATCTATTGCTATCCGTTTTCTCTGTCATTCTTCGTTGTGCATTAGCATTTGAACATTGTCAGCTTCTTCTCTGAAACCCCTTAATCAATTTCAACCAATTTTTGCATATAGCATCTATAAGTAAAGGAAAGGAGAACAAAAAATGTGAATTTCAAGGTCCCCCCTGAAGCCTGAGGGTTGGGACCAAACCCTCTCAAATTAGTGCAATCTTAAAAAATCTTCTTTACTCCTGGAAATCAAGCAGACAAACTGTTGATACGATTACAATTGTTACCGAGTCCTCTGCAAAAATTGCAATTGAATAGTTAAGTTGAATAAGGCTGCCTCTTCCAAAATTGTGAATTTCATGGCCCCAGGGTCAGGGGTTCTATAGTGCTACAGCGAGGCTACATGTATATAGATTATATAGTAAAAATGCATATATTCTTGAAATTCTTCTTCTCTGCTCATGGGCATTAAATCAACTAACCAAGTGCAAAGTGATGTTGACTAAGACTGCCTCTTCCAGATTGTGAATTTCATGGCCCCAGGGTCAGGGGTGTTAGTACTAGGTTGGGGCTATCAAGATTATATAGCCTAAGGGAAAATGATTTTTAAAAATCTTCTTTTCTGCTCTTGGGTATTAAACCAATGAACTGTGTACAAAGTTGTGAGAAGGAAGGATGTGTCTTTGAGATTTGTAAATTTCATGGCCCTTGGGTCAGCCAGGCTTCTTGTGTTGGGGCGGGGATCTAATGTTTATATAATTAAAACTCGTGAATTTCTTGAAAATCATTTTCTTTGCTCCTGGATATTAGGCCAATGATACATATTAAATATTTTTGATGAAGGAAGCTGCCTTTTCCAAAATGGTTAATTTCTGGGCCTATGTGACTCAAATGACTAAAAAATACATATAAATCATATTTAGATTCATTGAAATTAAATAACTAAGGTGTCCTTGGGGTCTCCTTTTGGTTCCTTTTGGTGTCCTTGTGGTTCATTGTGGTTAAAAGACATACCCAAATAGCCCTTATAAACTGGAAGTGTAATAAGATGCTGAATCTGACCTACATTTTCTAGGTGAGTAGACAGGTTAAGTTTTTTGAGCAGATTTTTATACCCCTGCAAACAAAGTTTAGGGAGGGTATACTGGAATGCCTGTCTAGCTGTTCGTAGATCTATCTGTAGACAAGATTTTGTATAGACCATTTCTCACAAACTTTTGGAAGGATTCTCTGAAAATTTATACACTTATTATTCACCATATGAAGGTGTGCACCTGGTATTTCCATCATGATTGGATGATTTTTCTGCCTTTTCCAGGACTATTTTTTTTCTATTTTTAGCTCTTCTGAGCCAAAGGCTCAAAGAGCTAATGCTATGGCCATTTGTGCTGTGTGCGTCGTTCAGTCTGCGGTGTGCATTAACTTTTTAGAATATAGGCCATAACTCATGCCCTTGGCCAATCAGTGTCAAATTTGTCACAGGGTATCCTTGGCCCAAGGGCTACCATTTATACTAAAATAAGGGCTGGGACCCTGAACCAAGGGGAGATAATCAGGAAAACAAACAAAAAGTACTGGTTGCTAAAAAATCTTCTACAGAACCACGAGGCAGATTTTCACCAAACTTACATACAAAAATCAGGATGTGTTGAAGATTTAGAATTGTTCAAGGCATGACCCTGGGGCAAAGGGCGTGGTCTCAAGGTCACTTTGAAATTGACTTAAATTTATAATTAATAAAAATGTTCATATTTTGCTTACTATAAGGACTAGGATCATCAAATCTTGTAAGTTGATGCATCTTAGGACTTCACATCATATTAACTCAAAAGTAGGTCACGGTGACCTATTTTTAAAATTTTGCTGGCATTCGTTTTCAAATTGATTTAAAGGCATATTTTGGATACTTTAAGGCCTATGATCATCAAACTTAGTCAGTTGATGCATCTTGGGTCCTTGAACAATGTAAACTTAAAAGTAGGTCACCATGACATACTTTTTGAACTTTATGACTTATCCTTTTCAAAACATTTAATCCCATTATTTCAGGCACTGAAAGGGTTAAAATCATCAAATCTTGTAAGTAGCTGCATCATGGGACCTTAAAACATATCTAAGATATGTAGGTCACTGTGACCTACGTTTAGAATTTTGCAGGCATTTGTTTTCAAATTGTTCAAAATGCATATTTTGATTACCTTCAAACCTATGATCATCAAACTTGGTCAGGAGATGCATCTTGGGACTCTGAAAAATGTCGACCAAAATGTAGGTCACGGTGACCTACTTTCGACATTTTATTTCTATATTTAAGAATCTTAGGTATTTATTGGCTTAAAATCATCAAACTTTGTGAGTTGATGCATCTTGGGTTTTAGGATAGTGACCTACTTTCGACATTTTGGCTTAGAATCATCAAACTTTGTCAGTTGATGCATCTTAGGTTTTTGGAGAATGTCGACCTAAACCTACTTTTGAATATCTCAGGTATTTATTGGCTTAGAATTATCAAAGTTGGTCAGCAGATGCATCTTGAGACTCTGAGAAATGTCAACCAAAATGTAGGTCACGATGATCGGTTTTTGACATTTTATGGCTGTATTTAAGTATCTCCTGTACTTATTGGTTAAGAATCATCATACTTTTTCAGTTGATGCATCTTTGGTTTTTTGAGAATGTTGACCAAAGAGTAGGTCATAGTGACCTACTTTTGAATATCTTGGGTACTTATTGGCTTAGAATCACCAAACTTTGTCAGTTGATGCGTCTTGGGTTTTCTGAGAATGTCGACCAAAAAGTAGGTCACGGTGACCTACTTTTTAATATTTTATGGCTATATTTAAGTATCTCTAGTACTTATCGGTTAAGAATCATCATGCTTTGTCAGTTAATGCATCTTGGATTTTCTGAGAATGTCGACCTAAATGTGGTCATGGTGACCTACTTTTGAATATCTTAGGTATTTATTGGCTTAGAATTATCAAAATTTGTCAGCAGATGCATCTCTGGACTCTAGAAAATGTCAACCAAAATGTAGGTTACAATGACCTACTTTCGACATTTTTTGGCTTTATTTAAGTATCACTTGTACTTATTGGTAAAGAATCATCATACTTTGTCAGTTGATGCATCTTTGGTTTTCTGAGAATGTTGACCAAAGAGTAGGTCGAAGTGACCTACTTTTGAATATCTCGGGTATTTATTGGCTTAGAATCATCAATCTGTGTCACTTGATGCATTTTGTGATTTCCAAAATGTAGTTCTAATTTATTTATCAGAAGAGCGATTCAAGGCCCTTGGGCCTCTTGTATTTTGTGCTTTCATTCGGCTCATAACTAGAAAACTATTAGACATACAATCATCAAGCTTGGCCAATTTATGCATCATGGATAGAAGGTGTGTGGCGACATATTTTAAGGTCACCATGAGGGGGGGCCTATGTCTGAAAAGTCTTTCTGTGAAATTTTCAAAACTTTGATGTTTTTTTCCTGGGCACTTGCTTTAAATTTTAAGGCATTCAAAATAATACCTTTGTATGCTAATTTTTACACAGGGGCACCTGCAAAAACTGTGAAATGCTAAAAATAATTTTTTTACAGACATTATTTTTCTAAAGAACCAAAAATGTCAAATCACATTCAAAATTAACATGTATTTAGTATATTTGACTTGTATCTTCAAAATGAAAGCAAATTCATTGCAATTCATATTGCATGATAAATTATGATGGAACACAGTATAAGTATTACCCCAATTTTTCTGTCGTAAGTTATGAAGAAATGAATTATCTTTTTAATTCAGTAAAGAAAAAAGTATACCTTATTGATAAAATAAACGAGATATATGATGTTTTCTTTAATTTTCAAACTCTTTTGTCATAAATATCGACCTTTCTACACTAAGACAAAGGTAAGTAAGCACTGACACACATCTGAATATAAAACTATATGCCATAAAACAAGTACTGGGTGTATTCTACTGATATAATCTTTTCTTCTTGATTCCGATCGTTCTGTACACACACCTCCTTTCCTTGTTCCAATACTTACACTACATTTAAAATTACTGATCAATATTAAAGCAATATAGGTACATTTTATAAATCTTGTTAAAATTTTTATAGAGGAAAAACAGTTCATGTAATGTTGAAAGTACGGGTTACTATATTTTTCTTGATTTATGCCGCTTTCTTTGCTGAATTTTATCTATTCTCTTTGCACTTATATCAGCATAATATTGACGTATCATTCACAACTGAAATTGTAATGACCTATTAACCAACAGAAGAGAATTCTAATATCATAAACAAACTCTATAAATTGACAAAAAACTATAACAATTATTGATACTGAATAAATTTTCTTTTTGAAACTGATGTATGGTATTGACTATCTACAACGTTAATCGTAAATTACAGAACTTAGCGAGAGACAACATGTATAAAAAAAATTCTATATTGTGACGTATGTCAAATAACAATGTTATGACGTAGAACAACAATTAATATATATATATAGGTCCCCTTTCAAGTGAAATTTAAAAAAAAAACTGTCTTTGACTATTGAATTATATAATCCCAAAAAAGGTAAGAGTGTTGCAGTGTCCCTATTTAAAAAAAATTTAAATTAAGAAAATGTTTTTTTCATTACAGCAATACTCAGTTATAACGAAGTCACATTGACCTATGAAATTACTTCGCTATATCCATGATTCAGTATAACTGAATAAGAAATTCATTAAATTTACATAGTTGGGGATTGGAGATGACTTTTGCTATATCCATAAATTTGCATTATCCGTGTTCGTACTAAACAAGTTTTGCTGTATACACTTTACAGCAGTTCATAACTAATGTAATTTTATAAGTCTTAGAGGAAATCTATCACGAGATCTCCCATGGGTATTATTATCAAGCACTGGTCAAGGAGAATTTTGATAACAGACAATTGCATGTCAAATTAGAGAGAAATTAATTATTTAGTTTAGTGTAAGGAGCTAACTGGTAGAACATCTCTGATCAAGCAGATGTTATCTATATCTCTTGGGAAATGGGCTAAGGAATCAATGAAAAATTCAAGGAAAATCATCTCGCAGGGGTAGAAATGGCTAACCCTGCTGACAACTATGATTTTAAAGTTAGTATCAGTCCTTGAAAGTAGTTATTTTAACCCCTGTGTTAAGCAAACTTTTATTTGATGATGCATTTAAGGGAGCACACTTAATGTGACCCTGAAGGGGATGTTGTTAGAAGTTTGAGAAGTGGTAGAGGATTCAGAACATCTAATTTTAAATAGATTGAATATTTTTGTACAAGGTACAAGGGGTGTTCAAAAATTATTGAGACATTGTGTATATTTTGCTTTCTAATGAACATCTTACGGTGAAAATTTGTATATATGTTTGACATGCACTAAGAATTAATAAAAGCAAGAAATATTTCACAAATTCTAAATATTGATCAGTTGTAAGTTGTGCCATTTTAGTGCCTCATCAAATACTTTTTTGATAATGTTAAAATGTCAATTAAAAGTTTTTGTTATATTTCCAACAGATTGAGAAACCCCCAGTGGTTTTTGTTGAGAAAATTGAAAAGAGTTTAGTTTGGCAGCAGACTTCATGTTCATCTCCTCCCTCTGGGGATTCTAGGGAAATACAAAGGACTGAAGGAGGTAAAAAAATTCCAGTTGTGCCACCCCCCCTTCCCAACCACCCAAACTGAAATTGCTTCCTATGGACCTGATATGCCATTAAAAGTCAAGATAAAACAATGATTTATAGTGCCCCCCTCCCAACTGAAAATGCTTCAAATATGCCTGAGATACCAATAAACAGGTTGGAGAGAATACTCGAAATCCGGTATTATCCGTGTAATCACGTATAATACCAAATATTAGGGTATCGTTGAATCTGCGAAATCGGGTAAAGGCCTTGTAATCACCTACTAAAACCTAAACAATGGGATTGTGCATGTATCCGAGTTTACTTTCATCTTGATACAAATTTTTTCTAAAGATATCACGAGCAATCAGGATTATTGTGCCCAGGACAACAAATGCCATGGAGCTTATAGCATTTCATGATCTTAACCCAAAAAGACGTTCATTTTGCTTCATATTTTTCATAATGTTGAAAGTATTTGCATCTTATTCTTGTTCTTTAAATATCAGAATTGGATAATTTGTAATAAATCCACATCAACACGACAAACATGAACAATTTGTAAATAAATCAAATTATATGAAAACACACTTCACACACAAGGTAAACAGGAGAATGTCTATCATTAATGCATCATTAATTGCTTTCACATTCCTCTTTTGCATAAAATCAAATTCATTAAAGAATGTATAAATCATGTAATGGTATAAATGTTAAAAAATTTGGCATAAATCTTTTTTTCTTAATTTTTATTTTATCATTCATACATTTTTTCAAAATAATATATTGTCTCCAACATTTAGCAGAGACAATGATAATTTCAGGAATACAGCTTTTTAGAGAAGTTTAATTATGCTTAGTCATCAATAATTTATTTCACCATTCGTTGGCGACTTCAAAAGGAGGGGGGGGGGGGGGGTTAGGGGTGATAAGCTGTAACTTATGAGCTAAATGTCATTGAATTTCATAATTATATATTCTTATTTGCAGGGAAGATTTATTCATCAACTAAAAATTATATTTCCAACATTGCCCTCTTAGGTGAATAGAATTCATCAATTTCTAAAACAATTTAAATTATGTAGAAGCAAGTTGACGAAACAAAAATATCAGCCGTCTCCTTTAAAGTCATCATTTCAGAAGTTCTATATGGTTGATACAATGACCTTGTTAGCATATATACAATTTTTCATTGAGTCAAATGCTGACTGACATTTTTCATACTAATTGTTAGTCCATTATTTATACTCTGAATTGAAGACAGATTTTTCCATTATTTTCTGATCTTGACAAGGAGCACATGGCAGGTGTGACTGGTTGGCAGGGGATGCTCACGCCTCCATGGCACTTGATTCCTCTAATGTTTTGGCGGTCTGATGTTTCGGGGGTCCGTGTTTGCTCTGCTCCTGCTTTGTATTGTTTATGGACTTTGAGATTGAAAACTGTTTGTTATCTCCATATCCATCTTCAAATTATTTATGCTTTTATTGTTTATATACCCAAACAATCAACGTAAACAAAAAGATATCTGTATGACAATTGTAACACAATATGATACTACAAGTATTAAAAAAAGCTAAATTCCTTTATTTTTTAACACAATTTTTCATCAAAGATGAGTATTAGAAGTTAATGAACTGAGTACTAAGTATTACAGATAAAAAACTAAAAGAAAAGAAAAAAGACAGACGGTTAAGTTCTTCCAATAGTAGGAGTGGCTGCAATTTTTATGAAATTTTACTGTCTGATGAGGAATTATATTCCAAGACAAGACATTATATGTTTTTATACGAACGTCATGAGACGGGACGTATTATGTTAGGCTTTATGTCTGTTTGTCTGTCAATCTGTCCATTCGTGTCCGGCTCATAACTTCAATACTATTTGGCCTAGGATTGTCAAACTTTGTCATGTTTTGATGACCGTAGTATACACTACGGTCAGCCGCTTTCCTACAGTGGATATGAGAGCACCAAGTCTCTACTGTAAATCACTTTTTCTTTGTGAGAACTTTATTTTCACGTAATTACGCGAGACAGTGTGCTCGCGAAAATTAAATTCTCACATATACATGTAATAGTATTCCTTAAAGCCGCTTGGTCCGATTCTAATTAATCGCTAAAAAATTGATCTCGCTAATCAAGAGTGAATGACTATCTCGCGAAAATAAGGTGTCACGAAAATTAAATGATCTTTGAGTCGGGATTAAGATTTCAAATTTACGTTAGATGAACATGGCGGGTAATGAAGGTTAATTTGCAAAGTTCATATAGCAGTGCTCACTAAAGCTTTGTTTAATGTTAATATTTATTGATAGGAGTGCTATTCAAACGTTTCACAAGTTCAGAGGACAAATGAAATACTGACGACTTTATTGCACAATGACATGCTGGTGAGATAATTTTGTTTCCATATTCAAAAGTATTTGTCTGTAAATTATTTCCCTCCCACAGGATTAAAACTGTGCATGGTAGCTTTTGTCAGAGACATTGTTTAAGCTTCTGTTATAGCTTAGTCTTATTTAAGCATCATTCTTCAGAGAAAAGGGTGGCTTATGCATCACCTGCAATGAATAAAACTATGGGAGATTAGTTAAGTCCATTTGAGGAAGAAATAAACAATAGCCTAAAGAAATAAAATATTTCAACTGTTAAAAACAAGTTTTATATACAAATATATATTACAGGTATGTAGTATCGTTTGTGGAAGCCAGAAAAATTATTTTACACTTAATTAAAAAAATTTCACCCTACTCCCTTATACTCCCTGTCTGTTTTATGAAAGGAATTATTATACCCCTTTATTTTTTTGTTTTTATAGAAAGTTGCACAGAATACCCATTTTGAGGATTCAACGATACCCTTATATCGGGTATTATATGCAATTTTACGGATAATACCCAATTTCGAGTATTCTGAAATCTCTCCAACCATTTAAAAGATTAAAAAAATAATTTATTATTATACAGATAGTAATGAATTGATATTCATTTTTTGAAAAATCTTTCAGTTGATGAGAAATGTGAAAGTGGCAAGCATAGCGTATCATCTGCCCCTTTTCCTGTTGTTCTGCCTAAGGTAATGTTTTTAGACTTACAACCAATGTGAAAAAATGTCTAGATTCTCATCACAAAATGTCAATGCAGTAAAGCCCTGCAATTGTAGCACGAATGATGTTAATCCCTGTAGACATGGCACTGGTCTTACCAATAATTATTAAAGAATAAAAGATGCAGAAATGCCAATACATCAACTGTCTAAAAATTGCAAGTGATCACCTGAATTGAAAGCCCAAATGAGCATTTCTGATCACCTTTATTCTGTCCTCTGTCCATCTGTAATCTTTTCACATTTTTATGCTCCCATTCAAAGAGGGAGGGCGTATTGCTTTGCTGCTGTCTGTTGGTTTACTTAGTTTCCGTTAATTTTCATCAAAACCATTTAGTATATAAATTTAGTGTATAGATTTATAAGATGAAAATCTAGGTCAAGTTCTGTTTTCAACAGAGTTACATGTATGTCCCTTGGACTTGGAATAATTCCAATTGTTTGCAGTTTCCGTTCATTTTCCTCACAGAAGTTGCACATACTGAATTGAAATTTAGTATACACATTTATCAGATGAATACCTGGGTATCTAGGTCAAGTTCTGTTTTGGGTACGATCACGCCATTTTTGACTCACGAAGACTCAAGTGAGCTTTTCTGATCACATTTTGTCTAGCGTCCGTCTGTCCGTCAGTCTGTCTGTCTGTAAACTGTTCACATTTTCAACTTTTCAAAAACCGCTGGGCCAATTTCAACCAAACTTGCCATAAAGGTATCTTTTGGAAAAGGGGATTCAAGTTTGTTCAAATGAAGGGCCACTCCCTCATTCAAGGGGAGATAATTGGGAATTTAAGAAAATTTGGTGGCATATTTTAATTTTAAAAATCTTCTTCTCAAGAACCACTGTGATAGGAAAGATGAAATTATGGGAAAACATCCTCATGTAGTGTATATTCAAGTTTGTTCAAATCATGACCCCCGGAGGTAGGATGGGGCCAAAATGGCCGACCTAAGTTTTACATAGAAATATATAGGAAAATTTTTTTAAAATCTTCTTGTCAAGAATAACAAAGCCATAATTCATCATATGATGTGACATATCTTTACGTTATGTCAATTTTTTACGGGATGATGTAAAAATATCTTTACATCATGTCAATGCTGCATTACATGAAGTAAACACATTCTTCCATTATGTCAGCACTTTATTACTTGGAAGTCCAAAGTTCATTATGTGAAGTGAAAATATGTTTACATTATGTTTAAACTTGATTACGTGAAACGAATATTTCTTTATATTATTTCATTTCTTTAATATGTGATGAGGTCGAAATTGCATTACATCAACTTAATTTATTATTGTAATACCAAAACTTTGTTACATTATGTCAAGACTCCATTCCATGATGTGTATATATAATTACGTTATGTCAACTCTTTCTTATGTGATTTAAAACTATCTTTACATGGTGTTAATTCTTTAACATGTTGATTACAAATGTTCATTACATGCTGTAAAATACATTTACATTATGTCAAAGTTGATAACCTTGCTTTCACTACTGGGAAGGGGGGGGGGGTTCCTTAATAATTAGGACAAATTACAGATACATAATATGAGGGAGGGGGGGGGTCTGGCTTCCTCTTTTTTCACGACATAACTTTATTATAGAAAATGTTCATTGAAATTCGCTCCACTTTCTGCTGAAGTATAATGGTAATGTAGTATATTTGGAAAATGTTTTTAGGACTGATTGAAGTTGGACCCCCCCCCCTTTTTTCACCTGAAAAAAAAATTTTCGAGTTTGGTCATTTTTTTTGGGGGGGGGGGGGGGGGGGGGGGCTTTTTCTTGTACGTTATTTTTTTTCTGGCTGACAAACCTCCCCAAACTTTCAAAAATGATGCAACATCACTCGAATGAGTCATTTTCAACCATTCCAGGACTAGAATTCTGGGCTAAAGTACATTTATATAAGATGAAAATAGTTCCATTTTTTTCTCGTAAGAATATATATTTTTTGCATATTCATAAATATTCACAAATGTACAAAATAAAATAAATTACCATATTTTGCATATGAATCAAATGTGAATATTAATGAATATATATACATTTGTGGTATCTCTCTACTATATAAACATATAGAGAGAAAATATCTTCAATTCTGTATGAAGTTTGTCCGAGGTCAGAGGTCAATACATGACCTAATCACACGGCGCAATAATATATACCGGTACGTAAATATAAAATGACCTGCTCTACTTGCTTTTCATGTACAAAAATGAACAAAATAAGCAAGTAAAATGATAAATACATTGTAATTAAACTTATTTCAGATTGTTTCCTATCGATTCAACCTGTGTACATAGAGAAAATTAACACGAATAGAATGCACTTTACCGGTACGGCCGCCATTTTGATTCTAGATCTGTGCATGAGAGTGCGCGGCGTAAAAACTTAGCAACGTATCAACTATGATGGGCGACGCCATTTTGTTGTGTAAGAAACAAGAAAAAAGAGAAAAGATATCTAAATGGGTTTTTCGCTTTTTTAAGCTTGAGTGTGGGGGCGGCAGCCCCCAATATGTAAAAATAAATAAAACAAACTTACTTTAGTCGGTAGATAAATCTGCGTTAAGACTCGGGGCCATACGTACGTGTCACTATACATGTAGAACCATTGTGTCTTTTTTTGATGAGTTGTAAATATGTTTTTATGGGCGATGAAGGAGATAAACGTCAATTTTTAATTATAGATACTATCCTAGTGCATTCTTGTTATAGTAGAGATTTCCTATATAACTATTTTCCATGTGGTCTTAGTGATTGTAAAGTATCCAATGTTTTGCAAATTGAAATAGATAAATTTTAGTTCATAAATCCAGGATTTACTGCAGCCCTGTTTCCAGAAATCTAAGATGTGTCTCTTGCGTTTCATTTTTCTTATACTGCCGATTGCTGTTTTTCGAAACAAGACCGGTCTCACTGCATGTTTACAAGTTTTTCCCCTCCACTTATTTAACATTATTCAACATTTCCATAAACTAAGGATCACATTTATCGCTAAAATTTCCAAAAATTCTAGAATGTTGCAGTCAGTCAATTAAAAATATCCATTCATAGAAAACACAACACAAATCATCTTAAATAAGGTGCATGATGAATCACTGTTTACAATCAAATAGAGTGGAAGACAAACTTTCTAGTTCACGTCACCTACCCTGACCAATCACAGCACTGAAATAAGTCACGTGCTTAACAACGTCACGACTTTGGAATGTGATCGACAAAATGAAAGCCAAAGGTTAGTTTTGAAAGTGCTTTTAGTTTTAATTAATAACTTCGATAATTAAACGAAGTTTTTTTAAATGAAAAATGACGAGGAATTCAAAAAATAGGTTATTTTTGCATTTTATTCCCTTTTTGCAAAATCGTCACGTTGACGCGTGACTCTCTTATAGAGAAAGAGCACGTGCTATTTACATGTTATTTGGACGTATCGGTAAAGTGCAGTTGTCCCATTAACAAGTTAGGGGCCTAGCTTTGTTTACATTTTTTTCACTTTTGTCAGCTGCACCTTCTCTAACGGTCATCCTCATTTTGGGGGTAGACTTTCATGATAAACTAATATTTAATCTTTAAATACTACTCACGATAAATGTGTAAATCTGCTGGAAAATATCAGTGCAATCATGCCATGAACAGCTGCCAAACAGCCCGGTGTTTTCGTAGTTCAATGTAAACATGGTAAAGCTGTCGCCAGTGTCTCAGTGTTGATCGAGAATTAAAATAAGTATGCATACTTATTGTAAATCACTGATCAACACTGAGACACTGGCATGCCTTTAGTTACTGACATCTTGGAATGTTTTTGATCAAATTGCAAATTAACTGGCCCCGACAAGTGTCTCAATCCATCAGATCCACCTATCCCTTTCTGGCGACCGAAATTCCTCAAACTTTCTATCATCAAACTTCGGACGTGTTTCTTGTGTCTTTTCAGCATCGATTATCAATTTTCACGAATAAAAATATTCCCAGACAACAATCTGTTCACTATTACTGATCACAATTAGCCTTTTACGAAATATTCCCTTCTCTTGCCACGTTTATTTTGAACATGCTCAAAACAAGTGTAGCGGTATCACAGTGAACAAAAATTGGAGTAAAGTTGGTAAAAAGAGTAGAAAAAGCTCTGTAATTGCACAAGCTGTGCTGAAGCATTGTAAAGAGATCTTGATAATTGTAGTAAGCACAGTAAAAATGTACAAACTTATAAAAAAAAAAGATATTAAATTGGAATCCACACTTACTTGAAAAAAAAAAGATGTACAGCAATACAGCTGGTATTTGTCTAGTTCATATATATAACATTCATCAAGATGAGCATTGTAATCCTTGATAACCTATGTTTTTTCTGTAAAAAGAAAAGTGATAAATTAATTTCTATTTATATATATCTACTCTTTCAGGTGAAAAAATGCTCAGTTGTGCTTCAGAGAATATCAGAAAACATCTATGAAAAATTCTTGCATGGTAAGTTTTGATTTAAATTGTACTTTTAAGCTTAATTACCTTAGCCATTATAAATACATACATGTGGATATAACAGTTGAAAGTCATTCATTTGCGGTCACCCCTTTTTGGGACTGTTTTCAATACAAAATGAGGCTTTAAGGAACTGTTTGCAGCGAGAAATATTCACTATGAGGCTCTCGCAAACTTAGCGAAAATTTCTCACACGCGAATAAAAGATGGCTTACAGTATCTCGTTGCATTTTTGGGAGTTGATTATATCAGCGAGTCTATGTCAGTGGGCCAGGACAGGAAGTGCAACTGACAAACAGCCACCAAGGAAAATGAGCATTGCAAAATAGTTCCTCATTAAACTTACTATAAAGAAATTATAATTCTTGACAATATAGTCCACAATCTCTCTGTATTCAAATTTAGTCTGTCATTTTAATTTCCTCTTAAGCATCTATCACCTAAATAATAATACCGATTCCGATATATATATTCATACACTGTGCATGTATTCTAATTTTAAGACAGGAAATTCCCACCTTACATGCATAACAAAGCATCCTCAGTATGATGAAAAAAACATGATGGTATTCTTTTGCTACAGTACATTTAGACAATAAAACAATGGGCTTAGTAATCAGATGTACTATAAAATTTAAATTCACATTGGAACTCAGCAAACAAAACTTCATGTCTATAAGGCTAGCTGTTTTGTTTACAATGCATGTGTAAGTGTGCACCTAACTCAGGCTGATTGATAACTCAGTGGGATTTGTGTGCTTGCGAATCTCTAATATGTGTAAAGCTTTAGATAAGATCTCCCAACTGCTGCAGAAGTGACCTACTGCATGAATTAATATTACTTTTTGCCTTTTACGTTTGTGTCCGGAATGATAGTAAATGAAAGTATACACAGGATGATTTTTATATGCGTAATATTTGAAGCTTGCTGATTTTGTCTTAGATATTGAAAATACAAGTACCAAACCTTCATTTAAGATAAGGACAAAATCTGTGAGGAAAACAGTTAATCTAACAAGATTTCGCATATCATTCAAGTTATTTTCAAGTTATGTAGATCACTAAATTTTCGCAACACCTTATTTTCGCGAGATGGTCATTACATGTAACTGTTTATTAGCATGACAAAATTTTTTTTACGAATTGTGCTTATTGTTCTGTAAAATTGTAAAGAGTACTTGTATATGTGCGAGAAAGAAATTGTCCAGATCACGCTGCCTTGCTTAGTTTCGCGAATTAAAATAAATTTCTCATGAATAAAAAGTTATTTACAATAGAACAAACCATACCACATTGACTCTATCGGATCATGAAATCCTCTTATGCATTTGCCTTTCACATACTTCAATCAAGAAGCATTATGATAAGTATAATTTGAAAAGTGGGCAAGGTTACATTCACCGAATTCAGGTTCGAATACTACCGAAACACTTGGAGACTGGTCCTTCGTATGAGACCGTTTGTTTTATGGACGTTGAGATTGAATACTGTTCGTTATTTCCATATCCCTCTACCGTATAAACTTAGGTCCCGGGTCGCAGTAGGTGCTGGCTAAAAAAAGATCCCTCTCTGCTCAAAGGGCGCCGAGTATAAGTAAAAATATGCAGTTCTCCATCGGCAAGTGGTGGAAGCTTCATATGAGTTAAAAATTCTCGAGAGGGACGTTAAACAATATGCAATCAATCAATCATGAATCGAATTAATTTAATGATCAACTCCCACTAGTACTTTCAGTACTTTGATTACTAACCTCACTGCAGCCTCATTGTGATGTCATGTTAGGGCACATTTCCCTATGTATATTTCAAAGTGTGAGTATACACAAAAATGATATTCAAATCAATATCACAGTTGGCTTAGTAGAAAAAAAACTAGTAAAGGAGTTTTCCACTTAAGTATAGTAGCTTGGTCCCTTTTTTCGCCTGTATTTTACAGAAAATACTTGAGGATATGGTATTATTTTTATTTTCATGGTGTATAACAAAGTATTTCTGATTAAAATTTCTTACATTCATTATTTATGACTTTGAGTATCAAGAAATAAAAGCCAATTTTCAACATCTGTCGCACAAACAAATTCCGGAACATTTTCTTTCGATAAGAGTACGGTTTCTCTATTACATACACATGGGCGGAGACATTTAAATCTGGTACTATAAAAGGAAGACCTGGTTAGCTTGCGGTAGCGTGAAATAAGAAATAATTAACAATGACCGGGTTAAAATATTATTTAAGAAGCTTGAATTTTACTTGCACTATTCGTTTTCTTCTTAATTTGGCGTGGGCGAGGGGCCTGCTTTTTGCATGTTGGGATATTTTTGGTCTGAAAATCCCCTAATCACTTTTTTTTTATCTTGAATCTTTAAATGCATCTATCAAATATATTAACCACCATTAATTCTCTTCCATATGACAGTTTAAACAGTAAAAGCGAACGAATAATAAATTACGGTAAATACACACAGAAATACACTTCTTTTCCTTTTGTAAAGGGGGGAGGGGGCTGAGAAAAAAAGCAATAATCCTGAACAGAAGTTTGATAAAGCAAAAAAAAAAAAAAGTAAACTCTTCCAAATTTGAGAAAAATCGATTATGTAGGAGTTGGAATCAAACTGTTACCCATTTTAATTTGAAAAATAAAACAACAATTTCAATGTATGTTTATTCATATCGCACCAGCCTAAATGCTTAAGAAATTTTTTTTTTTTGGGGGGGGGGGGGATGAAGAACTCAAGATTTATAAATTTTTTAAATAAACTAACTAAGCACATAGTTATGATGAGCAAGAGTGCCTCTTCCAAAATTTAGAATTTTAAGGCCTCAGGTTTAAGGGTTATGGTGCTAGGGCGGGGCTCTATTGATTATATAGTAAAAATAAATTCTTTGAAAATCTTTTCCTTTGCTCCTGGGTTTTATGCCAATTATCCAAGTATATATATATTTATGATGAAGAAAGGTGCATCTATCAAAGTGGTTTTTTATGCCCCCAGGGTCAGGGGGGGGGGGGGTTACATAGTCTAAATATAAATTAATGCTTTGAAATCTGCTCTTTTGTCTTAATCAATCATTTTATGATAACATTTGCAGAATTTTGAAATATGTGGCCCATGGGTCACTGGTTCCTTTAGGGTGAGGTGCACAACTGGGTATAAAGTGGTAGTGCGTTTTCTCTTTGTTACTCTGATCTACGTCTGGGTATTAAGTTAAAAGAGTAAGCATGCTAAGTTTATAATTATGATAAGCAAGGGTGCCTCTTTCAAAATTGTAAATTGTGAATTTCATGGCCTCTGGTTTAAAACATGAACTAAATTTAATTGTTTGAAAGTTGTTACACAATACTCAGGTGACCTATAAGGCCCGTGGGCCTCTTGTTAAGTTTTATAATGAAAGTTTAAAATTTGACGGGTAACCGGGGACCACAGATAATGCCTTATTGAGACTTCTTCTTTAAATATTGGTGTGTAAATCACACGGACATGTCACTTAGGTATATTTCATGAAGCATGCTAGGGTGTGGAACCTTAGGGATGGGGCTAAAACCACCAAAATTAGTGCAATCTTTTAAAATTTTCTTCACTTCTAGACAACAAGTAGTCAAACCATTTGCATGTTTGTAATTAGCTGTGAGCACTCTACCAAAATTGTGAAATTCATGGCCCTGAGGATCAGGGGTTCTGAAGGAAAGGGCAGTACTATACAATATAGAATACAAGATATTATTGTATAAATGAATAATTTTCATCAATTTGGCTGAGATCAAACTATGTTCGAAAATACTAAGTTATATTGACCTGCACATGAAGTTTCAGGTGAATACAAGGATTTGTTTCCTTCACATTGATCTGAAAATAGATTGAATAATTCCAAATGATATAATGCCAACAACAACTGAAACACACGACCTTCAAAAAAATGAAGAAATAACTAAGGGGTACATACATTATGCTCTAAACATAGATGGTTGAATTCAAAGAAAACAATATTATTTCTTAAGCAAAAACTTTGACTGGGGAAATTTAAAACAAGGCAAAATTGTTCACAAGTATAAAATGGGAAAAATAGCACAGGCCAAAATAACTTTGTGTATGTAGTTCTTTTTACAAAAAAGTGCAGCAAAAATGTGTGTTGTAATGGATTGAAAGCTTATATCAGTGTCCTACGTTTTGATTCAAATTTGTTAATGAAAGAATGCAGCTTGAAATTGAATTGTGATTATGAATGATTCAGAGAAATAACTAGATGTTGATATACATGATATAATGTCAACACCCACTGAAACACATGACCTCCATTCATAAGATCTCATGTGAAGGTCAGTTCTTCACGTCCAGGGAGGTCAACATTACCGCTACATTGCCAAAAATTTCAACTCATTACCGCTACATTTTGTCAGATTTTCGACCGATCATTACCGCTACATTTTTCCGGCAAAAAACAACTCATTACCGCTACATACTGAATCAGCCAAAAACAACTCATTACCGCTACATTTCGATTTAGCCAGGTGTAGTTCGAGTAACATGTGTTGATGTGTTGAAAAGAGTTGCAAAAGCAGCTGCAAAATAGATCTCTATGCATTATTTGTTGATTTAAAAAAAAAAAAACAAAACATCCTGTTCAAAGTCCTACTTTCACCTCCCCGTGGTGAGCAGAAGGAACGGGTCTTATGCATGTACATGTATAGGTTGCACTGTACATGCATAAGTGGCTGGCTAACAAAGAGGCAATGTAGCGGTAATGTATACTTTTTTATGTAGCGGTAACGTAAGGTTTTTTGTAGCGGTAATGACTATGTAGCGGTAATGAAAATTTTGAAAATGTAGCGGTAATGATACGCACCCCACGTCCAGCAGTGGATTTGAACCTGTGATGTAAGGATTGATTCATTACTCTAGAGCAGGAACTCTGTCCACTGTGCCATGCTGGGAACAGAATTAAAATGGAAGTGTATGATAAATACATGTAAGAGCTTTATATTATATATTTTAATTTTTAAGGTGAAGAAACTGCCATCATTGAAGACTTAAGCGAACTGGCCAATGATGTTACACCAGAAAAATTGTTGGTTGAGAAAAACTGTGCTTCACCGGAGTCGATTCATCCTGTTTGTGATGTGTCCAAGGAGGTGGATACTCAGGATGAAGCGGTGAATGCAGAAGGTAAATCATGATAGAGGAAAAGGGACTTTTTTTGTTAGTATTGAATTGAATTGACTTTGTGGAAATCCTATTTAGACAGAGTTATATAATTTAATATATATAAGTCTATAAATTTTAATTACTATAATATTACCAAAGTATAAGAATTTAGTTTAGGATTAGCTTATTAAAAAAAATTGAAGAAATAACAAAGGGCTACATACATTTTGCTCTAATCATAGATGGTTGAATTCAAAGAAAACAGTATTATTTCTTAAACATAACTTTGACTGGGCAAAATTAAAACAATTAGGGCAAAATTGTTCACAAGTGCAAAATGGGAAAAAAAGCACAGGCCGAAATAACTTGTATATGTAGTACTTTTTACAAAAAAGTGCAGCAACTACATGTGTTGTACATAATGGATTGCAAGCTTACATACATGTTAAATTTCCTGATTTAGGCGGGAGTCTACCGCTTTTTCACTCCATCTCCCGCCTACTGATTTAATTCAGAAATCTACCGCTTTTCTACAAAGGCTGCGTCTAAAGTATTTTGGTTAGCTTGGGTATCCATTTTTGAAGCCACTCTCATAAAATCTCGCGTGATTTGACTCGGAATCACACAAACGCTTTTTTGTACATAGATTTCAAGCACGGATTTGACAACAACATAAGACTACCAGTGATTACATTGGTTACGATAAATTAATCTATATCCCTCCCATGAAAAAGGAGACACAGCTTTTAAGGATTAGATGAAAACATTTGACATCGTCTTTAAAAGCACACAAGCTCACAACTTTAGCAATAAAGTCAATAGAAATCTTTCGATTGACCAATCCATGTGGCACATCTCCATTTTCGTTTTCGATCATCGCGGGAAATCTGATTTATATAAAGAAAGATACAAACTTGTTTTAGATCTAGATTAAACCATGCCTTCATTTGTTTTGTTTAAAAACTGAATGAACATTCAGAATTATTGCTTCTAGGCTATTTCAGCAAAGATCACTCTTCAAAAGGCTAAGTAAAGCAGCCAATCCAAGCAAAAGGATGAGCATGAAAAATATTTGAATTTGTACAATTTATGTCAAACTTGAGGTGTTTCTGTCTTCTTCTTTGCTGTTGATATTTAAGATTAATTAGTGTAGGTACCTGATTTCATTTAAGGCTTATAATATACATGTATATTACATGAAAGATATTGATAATCCGAGCGTTAAACAACACGCACGCAATGCTACCGCTTTTGAGGTCTGAATCTCCCTCTTTTTCATCACAATAGGTTAACATGTATGAGCTTAAATTAGTGTCCTAAGTTTTGATTCAAATTTGTTTATGAAAGAATGCAGCTTGAAATTAAATTGTGATTATGAATGATTCAGAGAAATAACTAGATGTTGATATACATGATATAATAATGTCAACACCCACTGAAACACATGACCTCCATTCATAAGATCTCATGTGAAGGTCAGTTCTTCACGTCCAGCAGTGGATTTGAACCTGTGATATAAGGATTGATTCATTACTCTAGAGCAGGAACTCTGTCCACTGTGCCATGCTGGGAACAGAATTAAAATGTAAGTGTATGATATATACGTGTAAGGGCTTTATATTATATATTTTAATTTTTAAGGTAATAAAAGTTCCATCATTGAAGACTTAAGCGAACTGGCCAATGATCTTACACCAGAAAAATTGTTGGTTGAGAAAAACTGTGCTTCACCGGAGTCGATTCATCCTGTTTGTGATGTGTCCAAGGAGGTGGATACTCAGGATGAAGCGGTGAATGCAGAAGGTAAATCATGATAGAGGAAAAGGGACTTTTTTTGTTAGTATTGAATTGAATTGACTTTGTGGAAATCCTATTTAGACAGAGTTATATATATATATATAAATATATATATAAGTCTATAAATTTTAATTACTATAATAATACCAAATTATAGGAATTCAGTTTAGGATTAGCTTATTAAAAAAAAATTGAAGAAATGACATTTTGCTCTAATGGTTGAATTCAAAGATAACAGTGTTATTTCTTACGCATAACTTTGACTGGGCAAAATTAAAACAAGGCAAAATTGCTCACAAGAATAAAATGGGAAAAATAGCACAGGCCGAAATGACTTTTATATGTAGTACTTTTTACAAAAAAATGCAGCAAAAACATGTGTTGTACATAATGGATTGCAAGCTTACATACATGTTAACTCTCCTGATTTAGGCAGGATTCTACCGCTTTTTCACTCCATCTCCCGCCTACTGATTTAATTCAGGAATCTACTGCTTTTCTACAAAGGCTGCGTCTAAAGTATTTTGGTTCGCTTGGGTATCCATTTTTGAAGCCACTCATAAAATCTCGCTAGATATGGCGTGATTTGACTCGGAATCATACAAACGCTTTTTTGTACATAGATTTCAAGCACGGATTTGACAACAACATAAGACTACCAGTGATTACATTGGTTACGATAAATTAATCTATATCCCTCCCATGAAAAAGGAGACACAGCTTTTAAGGATTAGATGAAAACATTCGACATCGTCTTTAAAAGCACAAAAGCTCACAACTTTAGCAATAAAGTCAATAGAAATCACTCGATTGACCAAGCCATGTGGCACATCTCTACTTTCATTTTCGATCATCGCGGGAAATCTGATTTATATAAAGAAAGATACAAACTTGTTTTAGATCTAGATTAAACCATGCCATCATTTGTTTTGTTAAAAAACTGAATGAACATTCAGAATTATTGCTTCTAGACTATATCAGCAAAGATCACTATTCAAAAGGCTAAGTAAAGCAGCCAATCAAAGCAAAATGATGAGCATGAAAAATATTTGAATTTGTACAATTTGTGTCAAACTTGAGGTGTTTCTGTCTTCTTCTTTGCTGTTGATATTTAAGATTAATTAGTGTAGGTACCTGATTTCATTTAAGGCTTATAATATACATGTATATTACATGAAAGATATCGATAATCCGAGCGTTAAACAACACGCACGCAATGCTACCGCTTTTGAGGTCTGAATCTCCCTCTTTTTCATCACAATAGGTTAACATGTATAAGCTTAAATTAGTGTCCTAAGTTTTGATTCAAATTTGTTTATGAAAGAATGCAGCTTGAAATTAAATTGTGATTATGAAGATATGAATGATTCAGAGAAATAACTAGATGTTGATATACATGGTATAATGTCAACACCCACTGAAACACATGACCTCCATTCATAAGATCTCATGTGAAGGTCAGTTCTTCATGTCCAGCAGTGGATTTGAACCTGTGATGTAAGGATTGATTCATTACTCTAGAGCAGGAACTCTGTCCACTGTGCCATGCTGGGAACAGAATTAAAATGGAAGTGTATGATATATACATGTAAGAGCTTTATATTATATATTTTAATTTTTAAGGTGAAGAAACTGCCATCATTGAAGACTTAAGCGAACTGGCCAATGATCTTACACCAGAAAAATTGTTGGTTGAGAAAAACTGTGCTTCACCGGAGTCGATTCATCCTGTTTGTGATGTGTCCAAGGAGGTGGATACTCAGGATGAAGCGGTGAATGCAGAAGGTAAATCAAGATAGAGGAAAAGGGACTTTTTTTGTTAGTATTGAATTGAATTGACTTTGTGGAAATCCTATTTAGACAGAGTTATATATATATAAATATATATATAAGTCTATAAATTTTAATTACTATAATATTACCAAATTATAGGAATTCAGTTTAGGATTAGCTTATTAAAAAAAAATTGAAGAAATAACATTTTGCTCTAATCATAGATGGTTGAATTCAAAGATAACAGTATTATTTCTTAAGCATAACTTTGACTGGGCAAAATTAAAACAAGGCAAAATTGCTCACAAGTACAAAATGGGAAAAATAGCACAGGCCGAAATGACTTTTATATGTAGTACTTTTTACAAAAAAATGCAGCAAATACATGTGTTGTACATAATTGATTGCAAGCTTACATACATGTTAACTCTCCTGATTTAGGCGGGAGTCTACCGCTTTTTCACTCCATCTCCCGCCTACCGATTTAATTCAGAAATCTACCGCTTTTCTACAAAGGCTGCGTCTAAAGTATTTTGGTTCGCTTTGGTATCCATTTTTAAAGCCACTCTCATAAAATCTCGCTAGATATGGCGTGATTTGACTCGGAATCATACAAACGCTTTTTTGTACATAGATTTCAAGCACGGATTTGACAACAACATAAGACTACCAGTGATTACATTGGTTACGATAAATTAATCTATATCCCTGCCATGAAAAAGGAGACACAGCTTTTAAGGATTAGATGAAAACATTTGACATCGTCTTTAAAAGCACAAAAGCTCACAACTTTAGCAATAGAAATCACTCGATTGACCAACCCATGTGGCACATCTCTACTTTTGTTTTCGATCATCGCGGGAAATCTGATTTATATAAAGAAAGATACGAACTTGTTTTAGATCTAGATTAAACCATGCCTTCATTTGTTTTGTCTAAAAACTGAATGAACATTCAGAATTATTGCTTCTAGGCTATTTCAGCAAAGATCACTCTTCAAAACGCTAAGTAAAGCAGCCAATCCAAGCAAAAGGATGAGCATGAAAAATATTTGAATTTGTACAATTTGTGTCAAACTTGAGGTGTTTCTGTCTTCTTCTTTGCTGTTGATATTTAAGATTAATTAGTGTAGGTACCTGATTTCATTTAAGGCTTATAATATACATGTATATTACATGAAAGATATCGATAATCCGAGCGTTAAACAACACGCACGCAATGCTACCGCTTTTGAGGTCTGAATCTCCCTCTTTTTCATCACAATAGGTTAACATGTATGAGCTTAAATTAGTGTCCTAAGTTTTGATTCAAATTTGTTTATGAAAGAATGCAGCTTGAAATTATATTGTGATTATGAATGATTCAGAGAAATAACTAGATGTTGATATACATGATATAATGTCAACACCCACTGAAACACATGACCTCCATTCATAAGATCTCATGTGAAGGTCAGTTCTTCACGTCCAGCAGTGGATTTGAACCTGTGATGTAAGGATTGATTCATTACTCTAGAGCAGGAACTCTGTCCACTGTGCCATGCTGGGAACAGAATTAAAATGGAAGTGTATGATATATACATGTAAGAGCTTTATATTATATATTTTAATTTTTAAGGTGAAGAAACTGCCATCATTGAAGACTTAAGCGAACTGGCCAATGATCTTACACCAGAAAAATTGTTGGTTGAGAAAAACTGTGCTTCACCGGAGTCGATTCATCCTGTTTGTGATGTGTCCCAGGAGGTGGATACTCAGGATGAAGCGGTGAATGCAGAAGGTAAATCATGATAGAGGAAAAGGGACTTTTTTTGTTAGTATTGAATTGAATTGACTTTGTGGAAATCCTATTTAGACAGAGTTATATATATATAAATATATATATAAGTCTATAAATTTTAATTACTATAATATTACCAAATTATAGGAATTCAGTTTAGGATTAGCTTATTAAAAAAAAATTGAAGAAATAACATTTTGCTCTAATCATAGATGGTTGAATTCAAAGATAACAGTATTATTTCTTAAGCATAACTTTGACTGGGCAAAATTAAAACAAGGCAAAATTGCTCACAAGTACAAAATGGGAAAAATAGCACAGGCCGAAATGACTTTTATATGTAGTACTTTTTACAAAAAAATGCAGCAAATACATGTGTTGTACATAATGGCTTGCAAGCTTACATACATGTTAACTCTCCTGATTTAGGCGGGAGTCTACCGCTTTTTCACTCCATCTCCCGCCTACCGATTTAATTCAGAAATCTACCGCTTTTCTACAAAGGCTGCGTCTAAAGTATTTTGGTTCGCTTGGGTATCCATTTTTGAAGCCACTCATAAAATCTCGCTAGATATGGCGTGATTTGACTCGGAATCATACAAACGCTTTTTTGTACATAGATTTCAAGCACGGATTTGACAACAATATAAGACTACCAGTGATTACATTGGTTATGATAAATTAATCTATATCCCTCCCATGAAAAAGGAGACACAGCTTTTAAGGATTAGATGAAAACATTCGACATCGTCTTTAAAAGCACAAAAGCTCACAACTTTAGCAAGAAAGTCAATAGAAATCACTCGATTGACCAAGCCATGTGGCACATCTCTACTTTCATTTTCGATCATCGCGGGAAATCTGATTTATATAAAGAAAGATACGAACTTGTTTTAGATCTAGATTAAACCATGCCATCATTTGTTTTGTTTAAAAACTGAATGAACTTTCAGAATTATTGCTTCTAGGCTATTTCAGCAAAGATCACTCTTCAAAAGGTTAAGTAAAGCAGCCAATCCAAGCAAAGTGATGAGCATGAAAAATATTTGAATTTGTACAATTTATGTTAAACTTAAGGTGTTTCTGTCTTCTTCTTTGCTGTTGATATTTAAGATTAATTAGTGTAGGTACCTGATTTCATTTAAGACTTATAATATACATGTATATTACATGAAAGATATCGATAATCCGAGCGTTAAACAACACGCACGCAATGCTACCGCTTTTGAGGTCTGAATCTCCCTCTTTTTCATCACAATAGGTTAACATGTATAAGCTTAAATTAGTGTCCTAAGTTTTGATTCAAATTTGTTTATGAAAGAATGCAGCTTGAAATTATTGAATTTATATGATTCATGAGAAATAACTAGAAAAATACATGATATAATGTCAACACCCACTGAAACACATGACCTCCATTCATGGATTTGAACCTGTGATGTAAGGATTGATTCATTAATCTGTCCACTGTGCCATGCTGGGATTTATATTATATATTTTAATTTTTAAGGTGAAGAAACTGCCATGAAGACTTAAGCGAACTGGCCAATGATCTTACACCAGAAAAATTGTTGGTTGAAAAAACTGTGCTTCACCGGATTTCATCCTGTTTGTGATGTGTCCCAGGAGGTGGATACTCAGGATGAAGCGGTGAATGCAGAAGGTAAATCATGATAGAGGAAAAGGGACTTTTTTTGTTAGTATTGAATTGAATTGACTTTGTGGAAATCCTATTTAGACAGAGTTATATATATATAAATATATATATAAGTCTATAAATTTTAATTACTATAATATTACCAAATTATAGGAATTCAGTTTAGGATTAGCTTATTAAAAAAAAATTGAAGAAATAACATTTTGCTCTAATCATAGATGGTTGAATTCAAAGATAACAGTATTATTTCTTAAGCATAACTTTGACTGGGCAAAATTAAAACAAGGCAAAATTGCTCACAAGTACAAAATGGGAAAAATAGCACAGGCCGAAATGACTTTTATATGTAGTACTTTTTACAAAAAAATGCAGCAAATACATGTGTTGTACATAATGCTTGCAAGCTTACATACATGTTAACTCTCCTGATTTAGGCGGGAGTTAAACCGCTTTTTCACTCCATCTCCCGCCTACCGATTTAATTCAGAAATCTACCGCTTTTCTACAAAGGCTGCGTCTAAAGTATTTTGGTTCGCTTGGGTATCCATTTTTGAAGCCACTCATAAAATCTCGCTAAGATATGGCGTGATTTGACTCGGAATCATACAAACGCTTTTTTGTACATAGATTTCAAGCACGGATTTGACAACAATATAAGACTACCAGTGATTACATTGGTTATGATAAATTAATCTATATCCCTCCCATGAAAAAGGAGACACAGCTTTTAAGGATTAGATGAAAACATTCGACATCGTCTTTAAAAGCACAAAAGCTCACAACTTTAGCAAGAAAGTCAATAGAAATCACTCGATTGACCAAGCCATGTGGCACATCTCTACTTTCATTTTCGATCATCGCGGGAAATCTGATTTATATAAAGAAAGATACGAACTTGTTTTAGATCTAGATTAAACCATGCCATCATTTGTTTTGTTTAAAAACTGAATGAACATTCAGAATTATTGCTTCTAGGCTATTTCAGCAAAGATCACTCTTCAAAAGGCTAAGTAAAGCAGCCAATCCAAGCAAAAGGATGAGCATGAAAAATATTTGAATTTGTACAATTTATATCAAACTTGAGGTGTTTCTGTCTTCTTCTTTGCTGTTGATATTTAAGATTAATTAGTGTAGGTACCTGATTTCATTTAAGGCTTATAATATACATGTATATTACATGAAAGATATCGATAATCCGAGCGTTAAACAACACGCACGCAATGCTACCGCTTTTGAGGTCTGAATCTCCCTCTTTTTCATCACAATAGGTTAACATGTATAAGCTTAAATTAGTGTCCTAAGTTTTGATTCAAATTTGTTTATGAAAGAATGCAGCTTGAAATTAAATTGTGATTATGAATGATTCAGAGAAATAACTAGATGTTGATATACATGATATAATGTCAACACCCACTGAAACACATGACCTCCATTCATAAGATCTCATGTGAAGGTCAGTTCTTCACGTCCAGCAGTGGATTTGAACCTGTGATGTAAGGATTGATTCATTACTCTAGAGCAGGAACTCTGTCCACTGTGCCATGCTGGGAACAGAATTAAAATGGAAGTGTATGATATATACATGTAAGAGCTTTATATTATATATTTTAATTTTTAAGGTGAAGAAACTGCCATCATTGAAGACTTAAGCGAACTGGCCAATGATCTTACACCAGAAAAATTGTTGGTTGAGAAAAACTGTGCTTCACCGGAGTCGATTCATCCTGTTTGTGATGTGTCCAAGGAGGTGGATACTCAGGATGAAGCGGTGAATGCAGAAGGTAAATCATGATAGAGGAAAAGGGACTTTTTTTTGTTAGTATTGAATTGAATTGACTTTGTGGAAATCCTATTTAGACAGAGTTATATATTTTAATATATATAAGTCTATAAATTTTAATTACTATAATAATAATACCAAATTATTAGAATTTAGTTTAGGATTAGCTTATTAAAAAAAATTAAAGAAATAACAAAGGGCTACATACATTTTGCTCTAATCATAGATGGTTGAATTCAAAGAAAACAGTATTATTTCTTAAGCATAACTTTGACTGGGCAAAATTAAAACAATTAGGGCAAAATTGTTCACAAGTGCAAAATGGGAAAAAAAGCACAGGCCGAAATAACTTGTATATGTAGTACTTTTTACAAAAAAGTGCAGCAACTACATGTGTTGTACATAATGGATTGCAAGCTTACATACATGTTAAATCTCCTGATTTAGGCGGGAGTCTACCGCTTTTTCACTCCATCTCCCGCCTACGGATTTAATTCAGAAATCTACCGCTTTTCTACAAAGGCTGCGTCTAAAGTATTTTGGTTCGCTTGGGTATCCATTTTTGAAGCCACTCTCATAAAATCTCGTGTGATTTGACTCCGAATCACACAAACGCTTTTTTGTACATAGATTTCAAGCACGGATTTGACAACAACATAAGACTACCAGTGATTACATTGGTTACGATAAATTAATCTATATCCCTCCCATGAAAAAGGAGACACAGCTTTTAAGGATTAGATGAAAACATTCGACATCGTCTTTAAAAGCACAGAAGCTCACAACTTTATCAAAAAAGTCAATAGAAATCACTCGATTGACCAACCCATGTGGCACATCTCCATTTTCGTTTTCGATCATCACGGGAAATCTGATTTATATAAAGAAAGATACAAACTTGTTTTAGATCTAGATTAAACCATGCTATCTTTTGTTTTTTTTAAAAACTGAATGAACATTCAGAATTATTGCTTCTAGGCTATTTCAGCAAAGATCACTCTTCAAAAGGCTAAGTAAAGCAGCCAATCCAAGCAAAAGGATGAGCATGAAAAATATTTGAATTTGTACAATTTATGTCAAACTTGAGGTGTTTCTGTCTTCTTCTTTGCTGTTGATATTTAAGATTAATTAGTGTAGGTACCTGATTTCATTTAAGGCTTATAATATACATGTATATTACATGAAAGATATCGATAATCCGAGCGTTAAACAACACGCACGCAATGCTACCGCTTTTGAGGTCTGAATCTCCCTCTTTTTCATCACAATAGGTTAACATGTATGAGCTTAAATTAGTGTCCTAAGTTTTGATTCAAATTTGTTTATGAAAGTATGCAGCTTGAAATTAAATTGTGATTATGAATGATTCAGAGAAATAACTAGATGTTGATATACATGATATAATGTCAACACCCACTGAAACACATGACCTCCATTCATAAGTTCTCATGTGAAGGTCAGTTCTTCACGTCCAGCAGTGGATTTGAACCTGTGATGTAAGGATTGATTCATTACTCTAGAGCAGGAACTCTGTCCACTGTGCCATGCTGGGAACAGAATTAAAATGGAAGTGTATGATATATACATGTAAGGGCTTTATATTATATATTTTAATTTAATTTTAAGGTGAAAAAAGTGCCATCATTGAAGACTTAAGCAAACTGGCCAATGATCTTACACCAGAAAAATTGTTGGTTGAGAAAAACTGTGCTTCACCGGAGTCGATTCATCCTGTTTGTGATGTGTCCAAGGAGGTGGATACTCAGGATGAAGCGGTGAATGCAGAAGGTAAATCATGATAGAGGAAAAGGGACTTTTTTTGTTAGTATTGAATTGAATTGACTTTGTGGAAATCTTATTTAGACAGAGTTATATATATATATATAAATATATATATATGTCTATAAATTTTAATTACTCTAATAATACCAAATAATAGGAATTCAGTTTAGGATTAGCTTATTAAAAAAAAAATTGAAGAAATAACATTTTGCTCTAATCATAGGTGGTTGAATTCAAAGATAACAGTATTAATTCTTACGCATAACTTTGACTGGGCAAAATTAAAACAAGGCAAAATTGCTCACAAGTACAAAATAGGAAAAATAGCACAGGCCGAAATGACTTTTATATGTAGTACTTTTTACAAAAAAATGCAGCAAATACTTGTGTTGTACATTATGGATTGCAAGCTTACATACATGTTAACTCTCCCGATTTAGGCAGGATTCTACCGCTTTTTCACTCCATCTCCCGCCTACCGATTTAATTCAGAAATCTACCGCTTTTCTACAAAGGCTGCGTCTAAAGTATTTTGGTTCGCTTGGGTATCCATTTTTGAAGCCACTCATAAAATCTTGCTAGATATGGCGTGATTTGACTCGGAATCATACAAACCTTTTTTGTACATAGATTTCAAGCACGGATTTGACAACAACATAAAACTATCAGTGATTACATTGGTTATGATAAATTAATCTATATCCCTCCCATGAAAAAGGAGACACAGCTTTTAAGGATTAGATGAAAACATTCGACATCGTCTTTAAAAGCACAAAAGCTCACAACTTTAGCAATAAAGTCAATAGAAATCACTCGATTGACCAACCCATGTGGCACATCTCTACTCTCGTTTTCGATCATCACGGGAAATCTGATTGATATAAAGAAAGATACGAACTTGTTTTGGATCTAGATTAAACCATGCCATCATTTGTTTTGTTTAAAAACTGAATGAACATTCAGAATTATTGCTTCTAGGCTATTTCAGCAAAGATCACTCTTCAAAAGGCTAAGTAAAGCAGCCAATCCAAGCAAAAGGATGAGCATGAAAAATATTTGAATTTGTACAATTTGTGTCAAACTTGAGGTGTTTCTGTCTTCTTCTTTGCTGTTGATATTTAAGATTAATTAGTGTAGGTACCTGATTTCATTTAAGGCTTATAATATACATGTTTATTACATGAAAGATATCGATAATCCGAGCGTTTACGTAATAACTCTGAAAATGACTTCAGAACAAGAATGTTTAGTATATTTACAATAAAAATGACGTAATAAAAGACACAATTTGATCAAATTAAAATTTTCAAGACAACATTTGCTCATTACTCGAACGCAAGTTAACGGACGCAAATGCCAGTTGGTGGAATGTTTTCATAGACTACAATCTATCATATGGTATTTTATTTTGGAGATCTTCTTGTTCTGAAATGGTTTTAGCGAGTGTCAAAATTAGCATAGTTTTATCGAATCTCGCTCAAACTTTTGTGTAAATTAAAGAGACCTAAATGTGAGAAAGGGACAAACTTGAAAATCAAAGAAAAATAGGCGATCGTGTTACAAACTTAGATACTGTAGCATAAATTCGTCAGGCGTTTTTACCAGATTTGTGGGATCGATGAAGGCTCAAGAGAAGTTAAGTTTAGTGTGCCCAATTTTTTGTTCCCCGCTTTCGCCAAAGCGAGGGGACATTAAATCTCATTCGTCTGTCCGTCAGTCTGTCAGTCTGTCCGTCACAAAAACTTTAACCTTGCGCATAACTTTTGATTTAGTGGAGCTATGACTTTCATATTTCACATGTGTATTCCTTGTGATAAGACCTTTCTTTGGGTACATTGTACCACCAAATTTGACCTTTTGACCTTGACCTTCGAGTTTGACCCCCTTTTACACAAAAATTTCAAACTTTTTCTTTGGCCATAACTTTTAAAATAGTAGATACTAGGACTTTCATATTTCAAATATATATTATTTGTGGCAAGACCTTTTATTGGATAACAACAACCTTGACCTTTTAACCTTGATATTGGAGATTTACGTACTTATGAAAAAACTTTAACCTTCACCATAACTTTTGATCAGTGAGGATTAAGGCTTTCGTACTTCACATATGTAATCCTTGTAAGAAGACCTTTCATTGGATACCAACAACTTTTTCCCTTTGACCTTGACCCTGGAGTTTTAACTACTTTTAAAAAACCTTAACTGTGGTTACAACTTTTTAACAGTAGATACTAGGTCTTTTATATTTCACATATGTATTTCTTGTGGCGAGACATTTCATTGGATACCAACAACCTTGACCCTTTGACCTTGACCTTGGAGATTTACATACTCATGAAGAAACTTTAATCTTGACCATAACTTTTGAACAGTGAGGGCTAGGCTTTCGTACTTCACATTTGTAATCCTTTTGAGAAGACCTTTCATTGGATATCAACAACTTTTACCCTTTGACCTTTACATTGGATTTTAAACTACTTTTTAAAAAAAACTTTAATTTTGATCATAACTTTTGAACGGTAGGCACTTGGACTTTCATATTTCATATATGTATTCTTTGTGGTAACTCCTTTCATTGGATATCAACAACTTATACCTTTTGACCTTGATCTTAAAGATTTATGTACTTACGAAAAAAATTTAACCTTTACCATAACTCTTGTACAGTAAGGGTTAGGGCTTTCATACTTCACGTATGTAATCCTTGTGAGAAAACCTTTCATTGGATATCCACTACTTTGACTCTTAGATCTCAACCTTGGAGTTGACGTACTTTTAAAAATCTTTTTACTTTGGCTATAACTTTTTAACAGTCAGGATGAGGGTTTTCACCCTTCAAAAAAATCAACTGCAGTGTTACTTTTTAAATAAATGACATATAATAGGATGTTTATATTATGCACAATATGTCATAAAAAATAACACCTCACCCATAAAGACTCCGAAAGTGGGGGATCACAATTCTTTGAATTTGCTTGTTTTTGTAAAATCCAAAATGGTGGCGGCGCAGTTGTAACCCCGCCGTACCTCCACATATTCGAAAATTATAATGCATAGAAAATAAATAAGACTTTACATGTCTGAGTAACTTATATTCATTTTTGGGATTCAAAAGTCAAAAGCAGTAGTGAGTTTTGGGGTGCCGAAGTTGAATTTATATGAAAAAATACGCACAGAACCCAGTCGGGGACAAGATTTAGCACAGTTTATTCGTAAACAGCAAGAGTCCTGTTACTCAAAATATATTTGATGAAAACTGCATTAAAATACTTCAGTTTAATACAGAACATGTTTTATTTCAAACAATGGAGAGCTATATAAAAGACCGAAAAGTCAGCTGTATCATGTAAATAAAAATCTTAAATGAATGTCTATGATAGCAAAACCATGCTCGTAAACAAACCATACAATGAATAATGGAATTGCTGATAAACAATATCATAATACTACTCTACCTCTTATCAAATGTGGATAAAAACGCGACTTTTCAGTATGCTTAACATTCAATATTCTGACGTCATTTTCGGAATTATTACGTCATAAAAATTATAAAGTGACGTCACAATATGTGTATATTTTTCTGATCTTTCTAATGGTATCAAACTCAATAATTTCCGTAAAACGTTTAATCTTTTATTAAACAGTTGCCAGAACTTTTGAAATGCCCCTCGTAAATGTGGAGTTGAAGGCCACAGCAAGTGTTTTCTTCTTATCACATAAAAGATCTTGCATAAATTCTGCTTCATATGAATATAAAAATAAGTCTGCTAATAATGGAGCGCAATTTGTGCCCATGGGAATTCCAATAGATTTTTGGAATACCTGGTCTCCAAAAACCACATAGATATTGTCAATCAGAAACTCAAGCATCTTCTTGATGTCAACTTCAGAGTACTTATGTGTGCAATCAGAATCTGTTTTAACAAAATAATTTTTCAAATGACCAATGACGAGGTAAGTAAACTTACAAGTTCCATTTTCGTTGAAGAAGCAGCTGTCAATGATATCAAAAAGCCTGGATTTTAATTTGTCGTGGGGGATTGTTGTGTATAAAGTTGAAAAGTCGTAAGTTTTTATGCTGTTGATTTTTGTAAAGTCTTGTGATTTTAAATTGTCCAAAAGTTCTTTAGAATTTAGTATCCACATCTGATTTACACCACTTCTTGAATATATAGTTGTACAGTACTCTTGAAGTTTTTCCATCACTACTGTTAATATTTTAGTGAGAAGTAACGAAAGAGGCTTGGTTGAACATTAACTGGAACCTGCAATGTATCTTTGTTTGTAAGGATTCTTATGAAGTTTCAGAATCCAATATATATAAGGTAGTTCAAATTCATTTTGGCTCTGTGGAATATTAAAAGTATTCAAAACTGACAGGTGATTTTGAAGAATTTCTTCCTTAGAAAGAGAAGTATATGTATAAGTAGGATTACCACTTGTAGAATTAAATCCAAGTTCTTCTAGAATGCAATTTTTATAATGAGCCTTACAAACGAAGACAATGTTGTTACCTGCTTTGTCGGCAGGAACCAGTACGTACTGATCGTGTAATCTATCTAATTCTTTTTTCACTTCTGGTTTATTGAATACAGAAGGATAGATGGTTTTCATTTTGCCCCTCAATCTTTTAATACATGACTTTAACATGGATCTAATACATTTAATCCATTCTGACAAGGTGTCAATGTCTTCTTTTTCATATCTAGCCCATCGTCTGGCGTAATTTTCAACAGAATCCATAATATAATTATGAAATTCCGACGCCAGTTGAAGAATTGGGGTTCCCTTTATTTAGGACCTTTTAAAATAAGTGATCTTAGGTCCTCATAACGAACTATTTTTACGTCACCTGTAATAACGTGTCCAGCAGGACTATAGTTATAGGGCGAAGAAGAACATGAACATGAAAGGGGATTATTTTTCAGATAGTCAAAATCCAGGCCATGTAATGTGTTTTTGTAATTGAAAAGTTTGGAAGCAATGGTCGATGTACTTTTGTAGGAAATACAAGGCATAGTCTTTAACTTGAAATATAGTGGAATACAAGACTGGACCCTTTTGTGATTAAGAATATTACTTATATTAATCGCATCAATTCCTTTATTGGCATATTGAAGTTTAAGGAAAAGACGGATATAAGACTATAAGTCTATAAATTTTAATTATTATAATAATACCAAATTATAAGAATTCAGTTTAGGATTAGCTTATTAAAAAAAATTGAAGAAATAACAGAGGGCTACATACATTTTGCTCTAATCATAGATGGTTGAATTCAAAGAAAACAGTATTACATGTATTTCTTAAGCATAACTTTGACTGGGCAAAATTAAAACAAGGCAAAATTGTTCACAAGTACAAAATGGGAAAAATAGCACAGGCCAAAATAACTTTGTGTATGTAGTTCTTTTTACAAAAAAGTGCAGCAAATACATGTGTTGTACATTATGGATTGCAAGCTTATATCAGTGTCCTAAGTTTTGATTCAAATTTGTTAATGAAAGAATGCAGCTTGAAATTAAATTGTGATTATGAATGATTCAGAGAAATAACTAGATGTTGATATACATGATATAATGTCAACACCCACTGAAACACATGACCTCCATTCATAAGATCTCATGTGAAGGTCAGTTCTTCACGTCCAGCAGTGGATTTGAACCTGTGATGTAAGGATTGATTCATTACTCTAGAGCAGGAACTCTGTCCACTGTGCCATGCTGGGAACAGAATTAAAATGTAAGTGTATGATATATACATGTAAGGGCTTTATATTATATATTTTAATTTTAAGGTGAAAAAAGTTCCATCATTGAAGACTTAAGCGAACTGGCCAATGATCTTACACCAGAAAAATTGTTGGTTGAGAAAAACTGTGCTTCACCGGAGTCGATTCATCCTGTTTGTGATGTGTCCAAGGAGGTGGATACTCAGGATGAAGCGGTGAATGCAGAAGGTATGCACCAAATTATCACATTTTTTCGAAATACAGGTAAACTTCTGAATTTCAACATCAGATATGTCGACGTCTGTCTGCCGTCCCGGCATTATTTACTATATGTAAATGAATTGCAAAAACTCTGATATGTCGACCTTGGTAATGTGGACTACCCCACTTATCTCGACATATACTCACAGTCCCAAGAGCAAAATTTACCTGGTATATGTTGACATCGGGACAATTTTCTGTTCTACTTAAACTAACTGTTTGTCAGCTGTTCGTTTATCACACATGGATGACTCCATGTATCTCTACGCTGTGAGAAATTCACACCTACACACGCATGTTTTGACCAATATTGCACTGTATAAATGTGTTTGTAGAGGAATCCTAAGCCCCGTTGGCGTCTCTAAGACGTTAATTGTTAAATGTTAAGCTTGGGAAATATCATTTATGAATTTCTCAATTTTCCGTAAATACAAAACATTTTAATTCATTTATGTCAAAATCTGACAAAACTTTTAACATTTTGTTAAAAAAAAGTAGCTAAATATTAATGAACAATATACACGTTGTAATCACTTTAACTTATAAATTAAGGTAAAAATGCATTCAATAGGAAACAATCAAATCTACAACATGCAGAACTATTGCATCAGCCGTAATATAAATGCATGCGTAACATTATTTAGTTTATTTTATGCACAATTCTAATAAAATTTTGGTTTGAAAATGAAATGAAAATAATGATGAATGCGGACCCAAATGGGCATAATTATACGCAGTATTTTTTTTCCGTTTCACATAAGTCGACTTTGTACCGTTCCAGTTTGGAGTTTATAGAGCACATTTTGTATCCTGTCTTGATAGAGCTAGTTGCACACAGATCGAATGCTGGATGGAAAGATGTTTTTAGTAAAATAAGAATATTTTGATAAAAAAGAAAGCATTTCATAAATTATATTTGCGAATAACTTCTTAGATTTTCTAATAAAGAGAGAAGGATATTAGCTGATCGAAACAAATGAGCTACAGTCTATTGAGGACATGTAGGTAGTTACACCTCTGTTCAATTTAGGTCTATGGTTTTTATGCAGTAAAATTTATAAGGACGTCGAGTCTCAACTCTGATATCTCGACACCTCGGATATCTAAATGTTTTCTGATTGTCCTGTCGATGTCAGATAACGAAGTTTACCTGTATTTTTAGGTCACCTGAGTAAACTCAGGTGACCTATTGCTATCCGTTTTCGTCTGTCGTCGTGCGTCGTGCGTCGTTCGTCGTGTGTTAACATTTGAACATTTTCAGCTTCTTCTCTGCAACCCCTCAACCAATTCTAACCAAATTTGGCACAAAGCATCTATGGGTGAAGGGGAACAAAAATTATGATTTTCATGATCCCTGCCCCCCTGGGGCCTGAGGGGTGGGGCCAAAACCACTAAAATTAATGCAATCTTTAAAAATCTTCTTCTTTACTCCTGGACATCAAGCAATCAAACTGTTTGCATGATTGTAATCAGCATTGAGTCCTCTACCAAAATTGTGAAATTTATGGCCCTGGGGTCAGGGGTTCTAGAGCTAGGGCGGGGCTAAATAAGTATATAGTGAATTCCTTGAAAATCTTCTTCTCTGCTCCTAGGTATTATATAAACTAGCTAAGTTCATAGTTATGATGAGCAAGTGTGCCTCAACCAAAATTGTGAATTTAATGGCCCTATCATCAAGAGTTCTGGTGTTGGGGGGGGGGGCTCTATTGATTATATAGTGAAATTACATGATTTTTTTGAAAATATTGTTCTCTGCTCCTAGGTATTAAATAAACTAACTAAGTGCATAGTTATGATGAGCATTAGTGTCTCTACAAAAATTGTGAATTTTGTGGCCCCAGGGGTTAGGGGTTCTTGTGTTAGGGTGGGGCTCTATTGATAATATAGTAAAAAAACATTTAATTTTTAAAAATTTTCTTCTCTGTGTCTGGGTATGAAGCAGACAAACTACCTATATAGATATGATGAGCAAGGGCCCTAATCTTGCAGAATTGTGAATTTAAAGGCCCCAGGGTCAGGGGTGGGGGGGGGGCTCTACTTATATACTGGAAATGAATTGTTTGAAATCTGGTCCTTTGTATTTATAAAACATTTATTTACTTTTTGATAGGCAATTTTAAGGGTGCCTTTTAAAAAATTGTGCAACCTAGGGTCAGGGGTTTATGTCAGAGTGTTAGGGGCACTACTGATTATTGATGAATATTACTGATTAATTGGAGTGCATTTTTGTTCCCCTACCCTGCATATGGGTATTCAGTAACCAAGCTAAGCAACTGCTAAGTTTTTTTGTTATGATGATCAATGGTGCTCTTTCGAAATTGTAAATGCCATATAGCATCTGGCTTAAAACATGTTATTGAATCAAATTCAATACACTGTAACAGGAAAGTTGTTGCATAATGCTCAGGTGACCTATAAGGCCCGTGGGCCTCTTGTTTTGTATTTCTGCCATAGAGATTCTTTTTCAGTCAAGTAGATGAAAGTTATTGTAAAAAGTCACCAAATTGTGAAATTTCAAAATAGTTGACCATTTAGGTTGCTCTTGGAATTAACTGCAGAGTCTATTTATTCAATGTCCAATGCCTCTAGAATTGCCATGATTACTGCATCAACATTTGACCTTTACATTTCTTTTGATCTTGACCTCACTTTACCTAAATTGATGTCAAACTTTAATATGCTGAAACATACTGATGTAAGCAATTAAACTTCAACAATTTTGACCTTGACCTTTCATTTGACCATGACCTCACTTTTATCAAATTGTGTTTGAGTCAGTTAAAAGAAATTATTCAAGATATTTTTATCAAACGTCATATGTTGATGCAAATTGATGAGAGATATTCAACTGCATCAACATTATGTTCAATTTCAATTGGATTGGAATGTTAAAAGACATTTTGTTATATGTTCTTTTTTTTAAGATGGAAACAGCATTGATTTTATCAAATGTGGTAGCTGCAAAGGAATTTTCAGCAGCATCAATCTTTTTTTGGAACACAAAAAGAATTTATGTGGTTTAAATGGAAATCAATGCTTGGTGAGTATGAATACAAGTAATGAAATTTGCCGTTATTTTCTCATATTTTTATTTTTAAAAGTATTATATGTGACTAATATGACTTTATGACTTATTCTTTTTAAAACATTTAATCCAATTATTTCAGACACTGAGAGGTTTAGATCATCAAATCTTGTAAATTGATGCATCTTTGGACCTTAAAACATATTTGTGAAATAGTAGGTCACTGTGACCTACTTTTTCAATTTTGCAGGCATTTGTTTTCGAATTGTTAAAAAGGCATATTTTGATTACCTTCAAACCTAGGATGATCAAACTTGGTCAGCAGATGTATCTTGTGAAAAATGTCAATCAAAATATAGGTCACAATGACCTAGAATCATCAAACTTTGTGAGTTGATGCATCTTAGAATTTTAGAGAATGTTGATCAAAAAGTAGGTCATTGTGACCTACTTTTGAATATCTCAGGTACTTTTGGGCTTAGATTCATCAAACTTTGTCAGTTATTGACTTAGAATCTTCAATCTTTGTTTATTAGAACATCTTGAGTCCTCAGAAAATTTCAATCTTGATATAGGTAAATGTGATGTACTTTTGGTTTTTTATAGCTTTATTACTAAAAATATTTTCAGTCCTAATTGACTAAGAATCAAACTTTGCCAGTTGATGCAACTTGGGTCTTAGGATACCTAAGGTTAGAGGCTTCAAATAGAAGTGATAGATTGTACAATTTATCTGAAGAGCCATTCAAGGCCCTTGGGCCTCTTGTTTGAATTTACTGAAAATACCCGTAAAATAGGTACGCAAACACCTTTGATTTTAACTGAACTGAGAACTGAAGTGAGTTTTTAAGATCAATTCATGTACTTTGTCTGTCCTTTTGTCCATTTTGCACTTGTTTAGCTGTCCAGCTTTCCATCCATCTAAAATTGTTTTAAGAACTTCAAGCTTATGTGATACCCTTTGCATCCCAGGCTAAAGTTTGGTACAGTTTACTTTTTAAGAGCACCTATGCTCTACATTAGTAAGAGATTCTAATGTCTTTCATTATACCTGCCAATGTTTAAGATTCTGCAATTTCAGCTAAGAAATGACTAGATTTTTGAAATAGGTTAATGTGAGATTTGCCATATCAATTAGATGAGCTTCTAAATCTTTGATAACCTATGTTTACAGACTGAGGAGAAAGCAGATTTGGTTGCTGTCATGGGAAACTTCCATCAGTCATCCCCAGAAATATTTAAACATGAAGCAGCTGGTACTCAGTGTACAAGCAATTGCCTCACAGCTATTGTAGCTGGATACCTTAAAAACGTTGATAGCTGGGAATCAGAATTCATAGACCAAATTTTAGAAGGGGGTGATAAAGTTCACCTCAGTGTTCTCCAAAAGAAGCATTGGCCATTCCAAAGACAAGAGTCAAGACTAGACATTGATGAATTGCCTGAAAAAATTGAGTGTCAGATTGGCAATCATGAAGTAGTTGCAAGTGTAGGAGTCCATGAGCCTTTGTTTGGAATGTCTTCATACATTGATACATTAGTTTCATCTGCAATCATTGACAAGCCCAATCAAAGTTTTATATTACGAATGTTTGACGTTTGTATTGCAATACTTCCAAGGAATTATCGTCAGTATTCCATATTTGATCCACATTCAAGGAATACTGATGGCTTTGTTGATGCCAATGGATCTGCAGGGCTGTTTCATTTCAAAAGTCTTGCAGAAACTGTGAAATACCTTAAACTTGTAGCAGCAGGGAAAAGTGGTCAGATTGATCTTTACCCTATATCGGTAAAATTGCTAAGGTCTGGGGCAAATGAAGAAATCTTCAGGGAGGAAATTTGCCACAGCAGTGACAATGATGAAGCACCAGAAAGTCTTGAAGATTTAGAACAGAGCAAGACAAATCTAGGTAAAGCCACATTTTATATATACTGTACACATCTTGAATTCACAAAATTCGTTTTTACCAAAGAACGAGTGCATGCACTTAATTAAGTATGTCTTTTGGATCCTTTTGGCTACCCATTTTAAGCTTAACATTACAATATATTGCTTATTCATTTTATTATCTATGATTAATATGCAAGTATATGCTTTTGATGTTTATTTATTGAATTCTTTGTCATACATATTTCTATAATTATACAGACAATGTAATGTGAAAAGAACATGTAAAAACCTTAAATTTGGTAAATTTGAATGGAACCACTTTCGAATATAAGGTATCCGCAAATAGGAAACATATGAATTGCATAATTGTGGAATGTAATCTTTAGCACATACATATTATTTCGCACTGTGAATTGAAATGGAGAAGAGAGAAAGATCATGTTTATTTTATGGTGCACAATTACCGTATATACTCGCCTATAAGTCGGTATTTTGGGAGTTAAATATTATTCTAAAAGTCTATGTCCGACTCATAGGCGAGTCATAAAGAGATAGGTATTCTTATGGTGGCTAAAAGGTAGTATCTTATTTGCATTTCCGACAATTATCAAAGGCAATGTCTGGATATATAAGATAACTTATGTATTCTTAGATTATATATATATAAAGTACATGTATTGATATGTTTTAATGATTTTATTTGTTTTTAAGTGAGCGTTGCCTTTTAAAATCATTTAAGATAAGATATCATTGGCTTTTCGAGAATTATTAATTAAAACCAGGTTAAAACATCAATGGATTTACTTGAAATTGTCACCAGATTTCGGCAAAAAATTGCACCGACTTATAAGCGGGTCAATAGCAAATCCCATCAAAACAACGTCAAAAAATACAACCGACTTATAGGCGGACCGACTTATAGGCGAGTATATACAGTAATAAATGATTTTAATGTTTATTTTATGGTGCACAATTAATAAACGATTCTAATGTTTATGGATGGGGTTGATGTCTCACCCTGCAGAACATATATAATACAGAAGTGACATAAGCCTTTACAATACATGTACTTACCAATTACACTATCAATACAATAATTCTTTCAAAACACCCCTAATGAAAAGCATAAAGTTAGATAAGAGACATATTATCTTCAAACCCTATTAAATTTTGCGCAAAATCTCCTATAGTTTGAAGTTCAAAGTATGTTAGATACTGTCACAACAGAAACTTAAACACAATGAAATGGTCAATGAAAGCAATTAGCGTATCGAACAGCAGAATGTCACATGAGTAAGGTTATAGTGATTATATTATTATTATAATATTAATCGTTGATGCTCAGTGACAGGTTAATTTAGTAGCTATCTCGACCCTAGTTTGGGTATATTTTTTTAAATATTAGGTATGTTTCAACTTGGCCAACATTGTCTTTGGATATTTATAAGTTTAAATTAAAAATACATATTCTTTGCAAGAAGGATACGGAGATAACGAACAGTATTCAATCTTAAAGTCCTTATAACAATACAAAATAAAAGCAGAGCAAACACGGACCCCTGAAAAATCAGAGATGGGATCAGGCAATTGAAACCAATGGTAAATTGTCCATTCAGCAAATTTCACTTTTGTCGGTGACCTGTCTGACGATGAGCTGTCTGGCACCGATTTTAAAGTGATTGTTTTCAAGTCGGAAAATTAGGGCAATTTTTCTCTTCCGATAGGGAAGGCTGGATGAAAGGGTGAAATCGTGAGGATCCCGTCTAAATCGGGATAGTTGGCATGTATGCTCTAATAAACAAATAATCTTCGATCGTAAATCAAGGGAAAAAAATCACCTCTTTCGAATGATTTTATTGCTTGTTTATTGATTCAGTTAAAACTGCATGTATCAATAAAGCTTAAATTTTGCTTATTGATAATAATATTTTTAACAGGTGAAACAAGACAATCCATGAAGAAAAGCAGGCCTAAGAGACCATGCCCTTTTTGTGATACCTTAGCGTCAAGGTTGAGTGATCATATTGCACGACGTCATAAAACTGAGGAACGTGTCATAAATGCATTATCACTTCCAAAAATACTAAAAGATCGAGAGTTTGAAAAATTTAAAAAGGAGGGAATTCTAAAGGCAAATTGTGCTGTCCTTTCACAGACAAATCCTGATTTTACTCAACTTTTACATGAAAGAAAGGCTATTAAAAGTGAGGAATCAGTAATGTGTTCTCTTTGCAAAGGTTTTTATAGCAAGAGAAGAATCTCTAGACATAAGAAAAGATGTGTTGCAGCAGAAGGAACGACTGAATATCCATCATCATGCAATGTGAGACTTCTGAAGCCTGATCCAGGTTATTCTGACAATTATAGACAAGAGATATTGGAATGTTTTCATGCCACTGAAGTTGGAAATCTTATCAGAGAAGATGCCTGGATAAAAAGATATGGATTTCTTAAATTTCAAAATTTCATGGGCACAGAGAAGAGGGAAGAAAAACGAAGATCGCTTATGTCTAATCTTAGGCGACTTGCCCATCTTTTCTTGGAATTCAAGAAAGTAATGAATAAAGAAAATCCATCCATCAGTTTGAACTCTTGTAGGGAAATGTTTAATCGAGATTACATGCTTCAAATTCAAACTGCTATTATAAATATTACTACACATGTAGATAATACAGTAAAGGTTGGTTTGAAGGTTTCTCTACGTTACCTTATAACAGACATATGCAGAGTTATGAAAGCTAATTATTACCTAGCAAGAGAAGACCAAGAAGCTGAAGAAATGAATATATTTATTGAAGTGTTACAAGTTGTCTGGCCATCATTTTTTGCTAGTGCAGAGGAATCCATTATAAAAAAGAGGCATACTGTCTCTAGGAAGCCAGTAAGGTTGCCAAGTGAAGAAGAAGTAAAAACGCTCAGGAATTTTACTAAAGAAGCAATTGAAAAGTTGTCATCAGATGTTTTCAAGTATATGGAATTTAATAAATTTACCCAGTTAAGAGATGCTGTGGTTTGTAGATTAACATTGTTTAATGCAAGAAGGGGAGGTGAGCCAAGTCGCATGACTTTGAAAGACTGGGATGATGCCCTGAATGGGGTATGGGTAGATCCATCCAAAGTAGAGAAGGTTACAGATGAAATTGGGAAGAAATTGCTGTGTGAAACAAAAATTGTTTATATACAAGCATCAAAAGTGGCAAAACTTGTGCCTCTTCTAATACCAAAAGACTGTTGGGAGGCCATAAAAATTCTTACTGATGTTGAGGTTAGAAGGCAGGCGAATATTAATGAAAGAAACATATTTATTTTTCCAAGTATAAATCACTCTTTAAACCATTGTACTGGATGGATCTGTGTCACTAATGTGTGTAAAAAAGCAGGATTGAAACGATTTATTACTGCAACAGATATGCGACATTATATAGCCACAGTGTACTCGCTTTTGGATGTATCCTCAGCAGACAGAGAAATGTTCTACAAACATCTGGGACATTCAAGAAATATTAATGAAAATGTGTATCAATGTCCACCTGCTGTGAGAACGATAACTACTGTTGGGAAGTTTCTCAGTTCTTTGGAAAGCAGCATTGGTAAGAAAAAAAAAGCCCATTCAACTGACATTATATTTTAAGCTCACCTGAGCTGAAAGCTCATGTTAGCTTTTCTGATCACATTTTGTTGGGCGTCCGTCTGTTTGTCTGTAAACTTTTCACTTTTTCGACTTCTTCTCAAGAACCGGTGGCCCAATTTCAACCAAACTTGCCACAAAGTATCCTTGGGTGAAGGGGATTCAAATTTATTCAAATGAAGGGCCACACCCTCATTCAGGGGGAGATAATTGGAAATAAATGAAAATTTGGAGGCATATTTCGAAAATCTTATTCTTGAGAACTGCTGTGCCAGGAAAGATGAAACTTATAAAGAACTATCCAAAGGTAGTGTAGAATTTAGTTTGTTCAAATCATGACCACCGGGGGTAGGGCGGGGCCAAAATGGCCCACCAAAGTTTTACGTAGAAATAATATATAGCAAAATTCTTTTAAATTTTTCTTCTCAAGAATGACAAAGCCATAATTCATCATATTTATATGGAAGCATGCTCAAGTTGTGTAGATTCAAAATTGTTCAAATCATGACCCCTAGAGGTAGGACAAGGCCAAATATAGGAAAATTCTTTAAAAATCATTTTCTAAAAAATAGCAGATCCATGATTGTTCATTGGATTACTTTTGGATTTAAACTTTACAATTAAAAACCATTTTCTACTTTTCTTACCCTTAGTGCTCAGGCGAGCCAAGTGGCACATGGGCTTCTTGTTTTGTATTCTACTTGTCACATTTCTTTCATTTTTAGTTCACCTGAAAGCTCAGGTGAGCTTTTCAAATCAATCATTGTCCGTTGTATGTGTGTCCATATGTCTATAAACTTTTCGTGCATTTTCAATTTCTTTTTAAGAACCACTGGGACAACTAGGACAACTAAACTTAAATATGTAAAAAGCAGCCATGGGTTATGGAGAATTTAAAAATTCTTTAAATAAAGGGCCGAGTCCCATTCCAAGGGGAAATAATCAAGAACGACAAAAATAGTGTGGGGTCTTAAAAAAAAACTTCTCAAGAATCATAAGGCCAGGAAAGCTTAAACTGATTTGGAAGCACCTTGGGGTAGTGTAAATTCTAAAATGTTCAAAACACGATCCATGTAGATGGGTAAACAATGAGTGATTTTAATAAAATCTTTTGAACAGGATACCAAAATTATCAAGTTAATGTAAGCATTGCTCATGATGTAATGTTTATAATCCTTAGGAGAGGAATTATCAGTGGATGATGAAAATCAACCTGGCCCGTCTTCAGAATCAGGTTAGTTTAGTAAACTGTAAATTCCTTTGTGTGTACTTTTGTGTTTATATCACAAAATGGCTCTTTAACATGAAATCGCAAGAATGATAATTAGCAAGTGATTGTTGATCAAGAGATTTTACATGGATTTTAGCACAATAAAAAAGCAAGTAATTTTTGGGGGGTGATACTTGTGAAATTATGTGATAATTAATTCTTTGCATATAATTTAGCATCTGCAGTATTCATAAAAATTAAGACACATTTTGATTTTTATTCACTTTTTTTAAGATGCAGGTTTCTTAAAAAAAATGAGTAATTAGTGAAGTTTTATCAACCTGAGGCTACTACATTGTTAAGCAAATTATAGATTTCAGATTTAAAATATGCTGAAATGGATAAGAAATGCAACATCCTACTGAAAGCGGGGATATATTAGCCTAAGGATAGAATTTTGTATATAATAATCACTGATATTTTCAACTTTGTAAATATCAGTATTTTAGTGATTAAATGATTTTTATACTATTATCGGTAGTTAAGTTTGAGTACATGTAATAGAAATAAAAAAAATTACTTGTTTTTTAAACAAAATATTTGGCTGTAATATAGGGGTTTTAAGGGCTTCTAGGTGTATATCTTAAGTAATGCAGCAATATTCCAAAAAAATAAATTAAAAATTGATGCGATGGTTTCCTGAAAATGACTTATGTACATATTTCCATTGCTTTAGCTGAAAACCTCAAAGATGTGGGAGAGTTGCAAATTCAATATTTATTACACTACATAAGGCCTTTACTAGACAGCGATTCCTTAAATGTAGCTTAATCATGTTAATTATTTGTTCAAATTCTGGCAACCTGGGATAAGCGTTAGATGAAAGTTTTACATAGCATTAAAGAAAACTAATGTTGAAAATCTTCTTTAAAGGACAATGATACAAACAAACTTTTGTCAAAAATTGTGTAAATAACAACTTGGGTCATGTTTTAATGAATAAATTGAATATATTTCACCATGTAGTTTTTAATTTTTCATTCAAAGTTGCAAAAAATGGAATTTAAAGCGAAATATTTGTATAGATTAATAAGGTTTCAGAGGGTAGAATTTTTAATTCACAGGACTGGTGTACAATTTCTTTATAATCTAGAAAAATTTTTTTTTGCCTCATTTGCATTGAAATATTAAGGTAAAAAAAATGTTTACCAATCTGGCATCCATTTTTGTTTGTATCATTTATAGCAATGATATGATTACTCATATTGATATGGAAGCATCCTCAGGTAGTGTCAATTCATTTGTGATCTCACATAAATATTTTGAAAGAAATGCAAAGTTTTTGTTGATTTTAGATTTAGTTTTGTTCAAAACACGAGGAACTCGAAGGATTATTGCTACAAAGGTTCATACAGAAAAAAGGAAAAAAAATTATTTAATCCAAAAATATTTCTGCTTACATTGTTCTTGAATAGCACGAATAGTGTTGTTTCTAAGATTCATATTATATCCAGATAACTTAAGCAAACTTGTTTTATTCATTTATAGGTTCCTTAAATTTGAAGGAGTCAGAGGGAGCTAAAGGTCTTACTCAGTCTGAAGCAGTTGAAGGTATGTTTATTAATGAATCAAAATTAATATTAATATTAATTCATAAGTCTTTATGTCACCTGAGAAAACTTGCGTGACGTATTGCTATCCATTTTTGTCCATCATCGTCCATCGAGTGTTAACATCTGAACATTTCCATCTTCTCCTCTGCAACCACTCAACCAATTTTGACCCAAAGCATTTATGGGTGAAGGTAAAGATCAATTGTGAATTTCATGGTTAACCCCCCCCACCCAGCCTGAGGGGTGGGAACAAAACCACTAAAATTAATGCAATCTTTAAAAATCTTCTTCAACACTCCTGGACAACAAGCAGTCAAAATGTTGGCATGATTGTAATCAGCATTGAGTCCTCTACTAAAATTGTAAAAATTCATGGTCCCAGGGTCAGGGGTTCTGGTGCTAGGGCAGGGCTAAATAGATTATATAATGAAAATTTATTAATTCCTTAAAAATCTTTTTCTTTGCTACTGGGCATTTAATAAACAAAACAAGTACATAGTTATGTTAGATAAGACTACCTTTTCCAAAATTGTGAATTTCATCGCCCCTGCATCAGGGGTTCTAGTTTGAAAATCTTCTTCTCTGCTCCTAGACATTAAATAAACTAACTAAATACATAGTTATGATGAGTAAGAGGGCCTCTACCAAAATTATGAATTTTACAGCCCCATGTTCAGGTGTTCTGGTGTTAAGGTAGGGCTCTATTGATCTTATAGTGAAAATGCATTTATTCTTTGAAAAGCTTCTGCTCTGCTTCTGAATATTATTAAATGAACTTATTAAAAACATAGTTGTGTTGAACAAAAATGTTTATACCAAAATTGTGAATTTTATGGCCCAATGGTCAGGGGTTATGGTTTTAGGGTGTGTCTTTATAAGGATTATATATAGCAAAAGTACATTACATCTATGAAAATCTTTTTCTCTTCTCCTGGGTAAAAAGCAGATGAACTATTTATTGAATTTCAATGGGGGGGGGGGTGTTCTACTTCTATATACTGAAAATGAATGGTTTGAAATATGCTCCTTGGTATATGTCAAACATTTTTGATAAGCAAGGGTGCCTTTTCAAAAATTGTGCAATGTGTAGGCCTAGGGTCAGGGGTTCATGTGTGATAGGAGAACTCCTGATTATTGCTGATTACTTATAAGTTGACATACATTTTTTTCCCCTACCCTGCTTATGGGTATTAAGTAAACAAACTACCGGTGACCATGTGCTATATGTGTATAGTTATGATAAGCAATTGTGCCTCTTTCAAAATTGTGAATGCCATAGCATCTAGATTAAACCATGAACCAAATTCAATCATTTGAAAGTTGTTGCATGATGCTCAGGTGACCTATAAGGCCCATGGACCTCATGTTCTTATTGTTTATTAAAATATCTACAGTCCTAAGGCTGTTCAAAGTTAATTTTACGTTTAACGTCACTTCTAAAGTTCAAAACCTACGAGGGAGGAAGGAAAAAGATAAACAAACAAAAATTTTAAACAATTTATTCAAATTTACCTATTCAGTACATTAAACACACTTCAAGTAAGTAATCAGAATTTTTGATATGATACCTGAGATTAATTTCGCTGGCAGAGTTTTTCTTTAGACTATGAAAATCAGTCTTTTTGTTATCAAACAATGAAGTCCAATACTGAATGTGCAGGTAAGTGGTTTTTAATTAGGCCTCAGTTGTCTTTTCGATTCATATTGCCACATGTCTGTGGTATCCTAGAGGCAAATACTTCTTGTGGGAAAAGTTGATCAATATCTACAATTAAAATTATTGAGGACAATATTTAAAACTATTCATGTTGAAATATCCTCAAATTTAATTATGTTGTATTTTTCCTTAGAACTAGTTCTACTAGCATTTAGTTTTGAAAGTGTGAATACTAATATTTGCTGTTAGATTATATTAAATACCTTGAATTCCACACAAAAGACAGGATTCTTCACTTCTTGGAATTTCCAAACCATCTTTCTTACTCTCATTCACTTGAAAGGCCCTATTTTCTGTAAAGTTTTCCCTGCTAAAATGGCAATGACTAGTATTATTTTTCCCCCAAAAATGTAGCTATTTGTAGGTATACATGAAGAAATCAAATATCTTACTCAGTACTGTTCCTTTAATTTTTTACAAAAATATTTTAATCTGAAACTATTTAAGAAGAATTAATTAAATGATGCTTCTCACTGTATATTCGGAATATTGGTTTTTGACACACTTTGCACTTAATAAAAAGTTTCGGATTCTCTCCAAATTACGATGAAAAGTTCAGCCAACATTTGACAGTCACGGTCAAAGTCTGCATGTACATGTGATTTGAAGACTGACCAAAAAATCAACAAACTAGACTTCGTCATTAACTTCAATCATCAAAATCATCTAGTTTTTACTTACATCCATGGTTCCAAACTGTTTAATTCTCTAGTTTACTTTTTAAATAACACCAAGTGCCTTTAATCAGTAAATTACTGCAGTTTCAAAGCACATTTTTCTGTCACTACAGGATGCAGAATTCAGTCGTTAAATGTAGAATCAAACCGGAACAGACATACGGAATTCCGAATTGTTTGTTTTTTTCAAAGACGAATTTCTCCAAAACCTACGCGCGTGGGTGACGTTAAACATAGAATTATTTTTAAACACCCAATGGGCTAAGAATCATCAAACTTCATTGATGAAATTTGGGCTTCAAATAAAAGTGATAGATTGTACAATTTATGAGAAGAGTGATTCAAGCCCCTTAGGGTGCTTGTATTTTGATGTCACAAATGTTGAATGCCGAGAAAGTGGAAAGTAATAAGTGAAAAATCAAATATCACACTCACTTTGAACAGAAGTTGTTACATTAGTTATTCCATTAACAGTATCTTACAAAATGCATAATACATGGATTTCGAAATATAAATAAAAATTGCAGTAACTGCTACGGTGCTTGCAAACAAAATGTTACATGTACCTTCTACAATTTTCAGCTTAGAAAGTTTAACAAATTCATACACAAATCCCAGTTCTGTTTACACTATGCCTTGATATTGTAATGTATATGAGACCAACATTTCTGAAATATGTGTGTCACAGTGTCAATCGTATGAGAGAAAAAGCTGGATTCAGTTTTATGATGTTTATTAAGGATAACAAAAAGAAACCTACTAGAAAACACTCTCAATGCGCGCTAATCAAATGTGAATTATTAACAAAGTATCTAATTAAATATCAACTGTGACATGTGGTATGGATAATTTTTTCAAGAAAATAAAAGCAGAAGCATGACATTTAACTTTGTGCTATTTCAACTCATTGATATCATCCTTTTTTTTTAATTTATAGTCTTCCTATGTGAAATGGCCCAAGAAGTCCCGATTACAGAACTCTTTGATTTATCAAGACAAATTCAGGAGGAAGAAGTAACTGTTGATCCAGAGATTTTGCAAGAGAGTAGAGCCTTGATTTTGAAAAAAGATGTTCAAGAGTGTGCACAGCAGTACTTTACTGAAGATGCATGGCTTGTTGCAGAAAATACCATAAAGATGCTTGAAGGTATTTTTTTGATTATTGTTTAGCTCATTCACAAACAGACCAATAAAAATTTTTATTGTCACAGTTTTTTTAATGATAAAGATGAGAACTACGATATATTCTTATTTCAAGTTCACCGTTTACTTATAAATGTATTTATAATTAAACTGTTGTTATAATCAATATTTCTTAAACATATGTATAGGTATAACAATACAGCAATGCATCAATACGTATTGATCACAAGGTCTCATGATATGCATATCATATTGCTATTTCTGTTTTGTGATATTGTACTAGTTAATGTTCATTGACTTGTTTGAAAATTCTTCATCAAAACAGTGAAAATTTAATGTTACAAAATGATTGAAAACAAGGGTAAAAAGGAAAAAAATATAATGCTAAGACTGTATGCCCACCTCTAAATAACTTTGATTATGAGTCTCAAAAAAAGTTTTTTTTTAATATTTTCTTCAACTGCGGAGGTTAACAAGCAAGAATAATTAAAGATATCATTCAATTTAACTGTTGACAATTGTATCATGATATATGTTGTATCGCAAGACCATATTGTGATATATCATATTGTTAGATACATGTAGCTTGTGATGCTCAGGCTTACCAACATGAATACTTTGTTTAATCAATGACAGAATCTGAGATGTCAAGGCAGTCAGAAGAAGGGACTTCCAGAGGACAGACAAAACGTATAAGTACACAAACAAATATATCCTTAATTTAGAATTTCTTATTTATAAAAAATTGATTGAAATTTATAAGGACTTCCATTGTTCATGAACAGCTGTGTTTTTAGCTCACCTGAACTGAAAGCAAATTTCAACCAAACTTGCCACAAAAAATATTTGATGAAAGATTTTCCAGTTTGTTCAAATGAAAAGTGAATATCCTCATTCAAGTGGAGATAGTTCAGAAATTGTGAAATTTTATGCATGTTTTAATTTAAAACCAGTGGAAGAAAAAGTTGAAACTTAAAAGACCTATTTGTTACAAGAAGTGAGGGGAAAATATAAGGGGTTCTAAAGGCAGCTTAGAGAATTACCCAGCCCCATAATCATTATGAAATCATCATAATCGGGCATGTTTTTTCTTCTTTAGAGTAGAATTCAGATTGTTCACTGCGCATTAAACTTTGTATTCAACTTTTTAAAAAGTATCTTAATATTTTCCTTTTATGCCATTTTGTCAGTTGTGTTTTACCTTATTTCTCGAAGGATTAAATGTCAAGTAAAATTTCATTGGCTAAAGAATTTAAGGAACACAAATTCAACCAATCGTTGGAAGTTTTATTAAAAGCATCAATCACAGTTATGGATTGAAAATCATACAATGACAATAAAATTTAGAGAATCAAATTCATTCAAAGTATTTAATCAGCCAGTTGTTGAACGGTATTAGAAATGTTGATCATTGTAACAAAAGAAATTGATGAAAAGATGACATAAATTGAAAAACAAAAGTATCAGACTATGATATGATAACAGATAAAAAGAAGATAATTTCAAAGTGTAAACTAAGTGTCAGGAATTGCATAGAATGAAGCATTTTGCACCCACCTTTATCCTGGAGATTCTGGCGGGCCAAGTTGACACCAAGATCCCTAGCCTGTTTTGAATCATCTATAATTCTGTCTTTTCAATTTAATGCCAGAAGCATGTCTATGTAACATAATCATTATGTAACATAATTTACTATTTAATTGTCTAACTATTTTGTTTACAGAATCCAAGAGGAAATTACCCATTGACCATACTTCAAAAAGCAAGGTATATTTCTTTAAAATTAAATAGACTGAAAGCTAATTGATACAAAAGATTGGGATTAAATGAGATTTCTTAAATAAAGACTTAAAAAACAAAATGTGTTTGTAAAACACTATGATAAGGCGTTACAAAAAAATATGTTAGTTTACGGTTACCCGACCGACCCTAATTTTAATTGCTGACCCAAACTTTTTTTTCATCATAAAAATCCAGAAGTTAATGGCCTGTCAGTTTAACTTTTACATTCATCTTTGAAATCGAAATTGAAAGTACAGAAACAAAACAAGTGAGTTCAATTTCTACATCAACGAGTTCGTTGTAATTTGCTTACCATTGCGTGGTAATTGCAGGGGTGTACAACTAGCATTGCCCAACACCCGGAGCTACCGTTTTTTGGGGGGTACTAAAAATGAAATTAAAATTATGCATGTAAATACATGCGAAACACAAACGATATTTTCACTCATTGTTTTGCTATTTAATTTCCAACTAATGAAAATTTTCCAGCCAGCATGCTCCTACTGCTCTTAAATCAATTTAATCTCATCCATTTTGCAGTTCTACCTGACTTATTTACTTATGAAACAATCGTTTTTTTTTTCCTAATCCGAATTTCCTCTATTCCTCTGTTAATGGTTAATACATGCAGATATCTCTTTCAATTATATATGATCCCCAAATCAAATGATAGCTAAGTGTTATGTGATTAAACTTTAATATTTATCAATTATACTTAATTGTTTGAAATGAAAAAAAAAATGATTTTTGCTTCATTTTAGATAAAGCCAGAGTAGTGCAATATGTTCAGAAAAGAAAAGATAATTTCTTAAAAGTTTTAAACTTCAACTATAAAAGGAATGGCTTGGGACCCTAGCTTTCTCAATTATGAACTTTTAGAATATTATACAAGTATGGACTCTTTTGGTGTCGAATATGGTTTGTAATTCTCCAGAAAAATATTCATATTGACCGAGGCGAAGCTGAGGTCAATATGGATATTTTTCTGGTGAATTACAAACAATATTCAACACCAAAAGAGTCCATAATTGTTTTATTATATAGTCGGGATTTGAATAGACAAGACATTGAAGGCTGTATGACGACACCATTTTCATTTGCGATCTTCCACACTCTCTACCATCGGCTCATACATTCACCTCTGTCGCTGGGTCGCGTATATCACAGTGTTAAACACGAGAAATAGTGCGTTTATTTCAGTTAATTATAATTCAATTTCTATGCTTATGTCTTAGATTTGAGATAGATATTTACTAAATATATCCATATCTATTCATTGAATTTGAAACAATCCTGCAAATATAATGTTTTATACGTTAATTCAAAATTCTTGACGTGAGCCCATTGCAGAGGTGTCTGAGAGAGGAACAAACGACAACTCTGCATGGGAGATTGGATCTTCCATTGTTGAAAATAAAAAAAAATCTCCAGATTACTGTTTGTAGCCTCGGTGTTTCGCTATGTGTAAGACGTCCAGATGTTAAAAAATAATCCTGAAATAGGTTTGAATAATTGTTTTCCTACACAGATACATAGCTCGCTGCGGCCGTTGCAACCATCGTTTACAACGTTGTTTGATATTTTGATTGTGACGTCACAATGCCGTTGCACGCGCATTGACCCACCGGTGAATACGGCCTCAAATCCGGTGAATATGTAGTGTTATGGACTGTTTGCATTTGTATATATTATATTGGGACTATAAATAGACTATATAATAATAGTTTATACAGTTTTTTGCCTCAATATTTGGTCACTTTTAACTTCGGACTAATAACTTTATTGTTGTTACATTAAGCTTGTGGGTTAATACTTGATTTTCTTTTAATTGCACACCCCTGAGTTGTAAGGCAGTTGGCAATCTCCAGATTTCCGGATTTGGTTCATAAATTAGGTTGCACTTTTAACTTCCAGTTACAACCCAAGCTTAGATCCATGTAAACAATGCTGATGGATTAATTATCACTGCAGGTGTAAAACGTTGTTTTGAAAAATCAATATTTGAAGTAAATTAAAATTGCTTTTGATAGAACTTGATCGTTATCAGGGCCGACAGGATCAAATTGAACCAAACATGTCTTCTGATTGAACCAAGAAAAAGAGAAACGATATTTATGTACATATCAAGGAATCTTGGAAAAAAAAAAACTTTCATTCTAGATAAAATAAAGTTATCAAAGACAGTGTAGGCCTAACTTCATATTTAAAACATATTGCAGTAGTTAATTAATTAAGAAAGAGGAAAAATAACTTCAAAACTTTCAGTTTAGCAGAAACTGAAAAGGCTTTTTATAAAAACAAAATGCACACTTACTTCAGGTCAATACTGAGATATGAGACCTTCAATAGTCATTTTTATTATGTAAATTTAATCAAATTTTGTATGAATTTTTTGTCATAGTAAATGAAATCCTTTTTCAATAAAAGAATTCTCAATACACAAATACTTTGTATATATATGCATAAAATTTAATTATGGTAAGTATGCCGTGAATGTTGTTGTGCGTTATGACCAGATTTTTACATGCTGGAGGTTAGCAAGTATGGTATGGTGAAAGTTCGAAAAAGCAATTTATAGCAAATAAGTTACGTCAAGGCGCAAGGTTATTGACCTTGGTGTCATTTGAAATAATTTAATAACTTAATAACATAAGCATACGAAATATGAAGTCTCTATATCTTTCATAGTTCAAAAGTTATGGTGATGGTTAAACAAAAGACAAACAGATAAAGAGACACCAAGGACAAAAACAATATATGCCCAAGATCCAACCAGCTGCATAATAAACAATAAACATTTTAAGTCTGCATGATTTAACTGGTTTTCCTGTGTTTGATGGGACAATAATAGTTCATAAGAATTACGATGCAAAGTTTTGTTCAGTCATATTCGCATAGAAGCAAGTTCTCTTTTGTATTTCATTCAAATCAAGATACCAGAGTGGTGAATGGTCCAAAAAGGTGTGATTGATCATTCAGGTTTTTGGAATCTGATGTTGCCATTTCATTCAGTATATTTTAACGCAAATGACTGGTATATTGCATGTCACAGGGTCATATTCTTGTTTGTCAATGAAAAAACTGGTTTGGTCTCAGTACATGGAATTTAATGGATACAGAAGAAATGAAACATATGGAGATAATGAAAAAATATTTCAAGAGTCCATAAAACAATACAAAATAGGGGCAGAGCAAACATGGACCACCATAACATCAGAGGTGGGATCAGGTTCCAAACCTACAAAAATATAAAAACACACACATCGATTCAACACCCATACAAACAATAGACGAAAATAAGCACAAAACTTTTTGATTAAACATCAACAATACGTAATGGAAATCAAATATTTTTTCATCGATCGATATTCAGATAGGTGATGTGAGTAATGTTTGCAAGGCAAAGTGGCAGGATTTTATGAAATTTTGACTCAATGTTGAAAATGTTTGCAAAATTTTGTACAGAATTGAATATACAAATGACAAATGGTGCATATCTAAGCAGCATAAAATACCTAAGATTACTTTATATCTTTATGGATTAATCATCTATTTTACTTACATTCAAAAAATATTTATCAATCCAAGCATCAAATTTTCTTTTGTGTTATGTATCTTTCATCATGTTTATAGGTTAAATATTCACAAGTCAGCCAATCGTAGCCCAGTCATCGATCCCTGAACCTTATTGACAGACGACAGACGAATGACTGAATAAACTGACTGCCGATTGTCAGTCCATGATTGAAAGTTGGTCGATAAATAATTTTAACTGAAGAAATCAGCCACCGACGCAGAAAAAACTCTAACTTGGACCAATGGACAAAAACTTGGTCAGCAGTCCAAAAAAGAGGTCAAAATCGGGCAAGACAACGGCCGATAAACTGCCGTCTGTCACCCAAAGAATCCAATTTTTGCTTCAAAACCAGTTGGCCGTTGGTTGTTTTTGGAAAAGTGACTGGGGTTTAAGCCAACACATGCATAAAAATTATTATAGTGAAATCAATAAGTCCCTGATAGATCACTTGTCAGTCAAATATATAGCAATGTTTTATACCTTAGTGTGCAAAACCAAATACTTGGGCATGGCTCTCACTTGTGTGCAAAATCAGTAGTATTTGATCAGCCACGCAAGACAGTTAAGCATTTATTTTCAATTGATAGTAATATGATTTAATAACTCGTGACAACATACTACATCGATCTATCCTTTTTAAGTTGAATATTTCTCAGCACCTTTTTTTTTATTTTGTTGTTAAAAAGTTCAGAAGATTTACTAAAGTTATTATACACAATTAATCATTAAACATGGAATTGACACTTTCTGTTACAGGAAGAAGTCATTTTTATAGACTTAACCTACTTAAGCTCTTTTATTATTGGTTTTATAAGTAAAAGACCAAACATAAATTACAAGTAGCTTTCAAGGGTCTTATAGAGGAAAACTATCACAAACCTTTAACAGTGTAAAGTTGGAGTCAACTTGATTGTACACAATAAATCTGGACAAAAAATAACTATGTTATTACATGTACAATGTATTGATAATTAATCAACTGTGTGTTTAATAGAAAGCAGATAGTCATGTTTTTGTTTTTGTACAGGTTCCAGGGCCTAGTAGAGAGAAAATTTCCAAAAATTTAAGTGATCCTGACTTTGTTCAAATGCATGATGACTCTTCTGATGAATCCAGTAAAGAAAGTGAAGATTCTGAAGATATGGAGTCTCTGAATGGTAAAAATCTAAATTAGTAAAGATTGTATGCATTTGTTTTATTTGCCTTTATATATAAATATTGTTTTTTTTTTTTTTTTACAATAGCTTGATGGGTTCATATTTTACAGGAAAAAAGGTATCAAAAGCATGTAGAAAGCATACCTGGCTTCCACAAGAGGATAGAGCAATAAAAGATTTTTTCAAAGAGGACATCAATGAATTTTCAAAGTCGGGAAACCAAGGATCACTACATGGAGGTATGTGTATTACTCCCACCCTGCTTTCCATATTCTGGTTTACAGATTTACTCAGGTATTTCTCTCCCCGTAAGTGTCTGTATGTTGGTAACCAATTTTTGTCATTGTTTCTCATTTTAAAACTTTGCTTTACAGTGGCTCGAAATTTGAACATAATTTCTTAATACCCACAAAATATATTGCAGGGGTTAATACATGTAGGAGAGAGTGCATTGTTTTAATTATTTTTTAGGTTACCTGAGTAAACTCAGGTAACTTATTGCTATCCATTTTAGTGCATCATTATACATTGTGCATTGATTCAGTTTACAGTTTCTTTTCAGCAACTATTCATTGACATCCAATTTTGTAACAAAGCTCTGTAGTTTGCCGATTCTTTTTTGTCAGCCCCCCCCCCCCCCATTTCCCGCACATTAAAAAATGTTGCTTCAGACCTCTGTCAAATGGTATTTGGATTGCTAAAATATCAAATTATTAAACAAATAAATACAATATGCGGACTTAAAAGTGCGAATTGCCAATAAATGGCATATTCTAATTCGAATAGGGCAAATTATTCTATGGGCAAGTGGCCTAGGGGCGAACTCTAGCATTCTTGCTCATGCTTAGCTTGTCATTTGCACATGGCATCTGGTTAAATCTCGCTTATATATTTACTGTGTGAACCTCAGGGTCCACGCAAAAAGAAAGGTCGAAGGAAAGGTCAAGGTAAAAAATTGTTGATGCAGTTGCATAACTCTCATCAATATGTATCAACATATTAAGTTTGATGAAAATATCTTGGATAGTTTCTTTCAAACTTAGCTTTAGACAGAGCTAAACACAATGTGTGTTGAAGGACGGAAGATAGACATGACAAATACTTTATCCTGCTTCAGACAAATTTGTCGATTACTGATTGGATAAAAGCTAATCACATGACGCCCTGAAATTTTCCGTATTACGTCTCCGTCGAGGCGTAATATGAAAATCGGGCACACGATTCCATCTCAGCGTTGTTATTGTAAATAAAAATGGCGGCTAAGAAACGGTTAACGTAGGTAGTTTAGTTAAATTTCTTGTTACTGTAACGATAAAATATGTTAATTGTTATTGGATTAAAACTTAAAATATTTTCATAATATGCACAAATATTTTATTTATATCTATAAAGGTCTTCAGCGGGATAAATTCGTAACACAGTCAGTTAGTGACCTAATACGGAATCATACAGGGTGTGAAATGGAAATCCGTATTGGGACTCGGCTTCGCCTCGCCCAATACGGATTTCCATTTCACACCCTGTATGATTCCGTATTAGGTCACTAACTGACTGTGTAACTAAAAATATGCCCCAGCCATATACATGGCGGGGAAAAAAATCTATTTTAATCCCTGAAATCAAGCATTCAAACTGATGACATGATTATAATCAGCATTGAGTCCTCTACCAAAATTATTAAATTTATGACCCATGGGTCAGGGGTTTTAGTGTTAGGACAGGGATGTATATATTGTACATTGAAAAATGCATTATTTCTTGGAAAATATTTTTCTCTGCCCCCGGGCATTAAATAAACAAACCAAGTACAGAGTTATGTTGAATAAGGCTGCCTCTTCCAAAATTTTGAATTTCATGATTCCAAGTTTAGAGGTTCTGGTGTAAGGACGGGGCTCTATCAATTATATAGTGGAAATGCATAAATTCTTTGAAAATCTTATCTGCCTCAGGGTATCAAATGAACTAACCATTGGCAAGTACAAAGTTAAAATGAGTAAGAGTGTCTCCTCCAAAATTGTGAATTTAATATGGCCCCAGGAATAGGGATTCTGGAATTAGGGTGGGGCTCTATTGATTATATAGTGAATATACATTTATTCTTTTAATATTTTCTTCTCTGCTTGCGGGTATTTAATAAACTTACCAAGTACATGTTTATGTTAGATAAAGCTGTCTCTTTCCATTGATTGATTGATTGTATATTGTTTAACATCCCTCTTGAGAATTTTTCACTCATATGGAGACGTCACAGTATGCTGGTGAAGATCTTCATATTTTTACCTTTACTCGGCACCCAGGGCTATTGAACAGTGAGGGATCTTCTTCATGCCAAAGACTGAAGCTGACACTGGGCCTCGGTTTTAAAGGTCTCATTCGAAGGAACCCTGTCTCTTCCGAAATTGTGTTTTTTGTGAATTTCATGAATTTAAATTGTTTAAAAATCTTCTCTGCTCCTGTATATTAAATCAATGAACTATGTGCAAAGTTGAGATTAGGAAGGATACTTCTTCCCAGTTTCTGAATTTCAGGGTTGATCTAAGTACATATTTATCATGAAGAAAGATTTCTCTTCCAAAGTGATCAATTTCAGGGCCCCTGGTTGGTACTTAGCCTGAAAATAAATTATTTATATGAAATCTTTTTTTTTAATATTAATCAACCATTTATCCAATGATCTAAGTACATATTTATCATGAAGAAAGATTTCTCTTCCAAAGTGATCAATTTCAGGGCCCTGGTCGGTACTTAGCCAGAAAATAAATAATCTATATGAAATCTTTTTTTTTAATATTAATAAACCATTTATGCTGAAATATAATTTATGATAGAACTTCCAAAATGTTGAAATATGTGGCTCCATGCAGTGTTAGCAGTTCCTGTGGGATGGGGTGCACAACTGATTAAAAAGGGGAAATGCATTTTCTCTTTGTTACTTGAGATGGATGTTTAACAATATACAATCAATCAATCATCTTTGTTACTCTGATATATCTCTTGTTTTTAAGTAACAAAATTCAGCATGCAAAGTGTATAATTATAATAAACAATGGTGCCTCTTCCAAATTTCATGGCTTTTGTGTAAAACACCAACCAAATTCAGTTGCTAGAAAATTGTAACATGATACTTAGGTGACCTATAAGGCCTGTGGGCATCTTGTAATAAAAAATATGGGGGAAAATTATCCCACCTCAAATAAGAAGTTATTAGGATATGGCAAAGGGTTTTAGGGAGGGGGGGGGCATAATAAATAAATCTGGGTTGGGACAGAAAAATTCTATGATTAATTCCATACCAGGAGTGTTTGGGCTATTTAGTCAAGCTAAACATTTTAATTTGCTTGACAACTACTGGCCGTGGATGGCCATTTTCCATTTCATCTGACCTTTGCTTTTAACGTAGGTCGCAGGTTTACAGGGCTTTTAAAAGTGTTCGAAAACATACCATGAAAATTACCTATATTATTTCTCTACCTTTTATTTCTATTCTCTGAAAATTTCATAAAATTCGTCTGCACCGTTTTTGTGTAATTGAATTCCAAATATGACATTGTTGTAGTTACATTTTCAACGGTACTCCATTGAATTACATAGGAAAAACGTCGTTTTTAGCTTGATTTCAGGCAAAGTCTTAATAAGAAAAAATATCTATAACTTTTAAATCGTGCAGACGAATTTATTTATCCTTTGGTATTTAAAAATAGAACTGATTTGAAAGAAATCTATGTGAAAAAAATAATATGTCTTCGGGTTCATTTTTTCGTAATTAAATTGTAGATAACTGCTTTCATATTGAAAAATTTAGCATTTTTAATAACAACGTCATAAAATAACGCGACGTCACGCTTGACGTCGTGAATATCCATCCGGTATACAGCAAAGAAAAAATTATACGGATTTTAAGAATAGGAAATTCACGTATATCTGCTTTCAAATGACCAGTTTCATAATAATTCAAGAAAATAATTATTAGACATTTTTTCCTTTAAGCTTATTACGTCTAATACTAGTGAAAATTCACATAAAAGGCGTTAATCAACAATCAGTTCTTTAGTTTTTTTAAAAAAAATTTTTATGTGTTTATTTCTTACCGTTTCTTTTCTTTTTTTTTTTTTTTTTGGCTTGTTTGTTTGTTTTATTCATGCGCGGATTCTCGCCGAAATTTGCAAAAAAAGTGACCTTGTATTCCCCTTTGGAAAAGGCAGACTCTCCATCCCCGTTGAAATCGCAGATCTGTGATCTAAGTTTGTTTGAAAAGTCGTAGGTATGAAGATTTAGAAGTCAAGGACCCCCAACTAACACCCCCAATCCCCAACCCCGAAATAAGTTTTTTACGCTTTGTATATATAATTTTTCTTTTGAAAATTCAGCTAGGCTATCAAATCAACAATAACTCATTAACTTAATTCTTATAAATCAATTTCCATCAAATATCCTCTCGAGTATAAGTATTTATGCATTCTGTGTTTATATTGAAAATGTTTTCGTTTAAGTTTACAGAGAGGCAGCGAATAACTAAAATTAATCTGAACTTGATTTCATCTTATGCTTATACGTATAAGGATAGAAAAAAAAATACGTACAAGGAATTTTAGAGGGGTAAATGGGGCGATAATTTAAACATTAATTTTATTAGGCGCAATTAACACTAACAGGCAGATTTTATTTTGTTCTTAGACGTTCAGTGTATACTGTAAAATCACATATTTTCGTGGGGTCAAATTTTCGTGGTTTGAGGAAAAAAAGTTGGTTCGTGGGGATTTGATTTCGTGGACGAAGATCTATTTCGTAGTTGTGCATATGAAAATTAACCTTTCGTGATGGTCATAAATTCATGGGTCTCTTCATACCACGAAAACAACGAAAATTAACCCCCCACGAAAATTAGTGATTTCACAGTACATATAACATTAATTCTCCTGAACGAATATGGAAAGCAACCCAGCGAATAAAATATGTACATGTAACTGACAAGATCGCGTGCTGTTTCTTACACAGGAAATTGGATCGAGTATCCACCCCCCCCCCCCTTCTGTTTTTCGGGGGGTCATCCTATTTTGGCTTTTTAATACGTATTGCATGTTATAAATAAGTTAACATTTTTATCTCTTTACGCTGTTTTTAATCTTCACTTGCAGGATCACTATCTAAAGCGTAGAAGATCATGGAATATACAGAAATTTGAATTCTTCCTTTTCAGATTTCCATATATATAATTCTTCATGTGCCTCCGACTAGTAAATATTTTGATTAAATCAACATGCATATATAGGGTGGATCGAGTTAAAATTCAAAAATTGGAGAGAAAAAATTACTCATCCCCAGCGTTAGCAAGTAAAAAAAAATGGAAAGGAGGGAGGGGGTCATATCCTACATGCCTGTAGTTATTTACAAGAGATCAATGCTGCTACATAATATACCCCCACTTTTGATATTCTTTTCTAAATATTCAAGATAACTTTCACCTATTTGCTTAAAATCAGAAAAAGTTTAAGACTTTAAAAAAAATTTCTTGCTTATTACATTTTCAATGCCGGAAAAATAACATTTTATTAGTGCAGAAAGGTCAAATAATTGATTATGCGAAGCAATTTGAAACTTTTTCTTAGTCACAATTTTTAAGTGTCTGTTTTTAAACATACTTAGATTTCATTTTGTTTCATGCTTTAATTGGATAAAAATATTGGAGGGAAAACGTCGAAGATGTAATTTTTAATTAAAACACAAATTTCATTGCAGAAAGGTCATATTAAATGTACTGTAGCGCTAAAAGAAGCATATTGACCCCCATTTTTTTATTTGAATTTTAATTAAGCTATGTATGTAGAAACTAAAAATATACTTGGCAAAAAAAGTTTAAGACTTTAAATATCAGGATCGAATGTCGTTAAATATTGTTTAATTTATATTTGCAGTGACAAAGAAGATACGCAGATTTATTTCGAAATATCCAGATGTTTTGAAGGAGTATCCAGATAAAGACAAAGTCCACAAGATTCGTACCAAAGTGATAAATCTTAGAAGACAAAGTCGGGGGAAGTATGAGAAAAACATGGTGAAACTAACTCGATAGTCAGAAAACAAAAAGTTTCATACAACTTTCTCACATTTTTGTCTTTATTATTTATTTTAAATTTTGGAATAGGAATACAAGATTAGCTGTACTTAAAGCTAAACTTTACTGTCAAAGATAAAGGACACAGCAGCCACGTCTTAGAGGTCATTATATTAATTTATGCAAGAAAATTTCCATCACCTTTAAACTTGAAAAGTTCATCAATGCAAACAAACCTTTCCAAAAATTTTTATTCTTCATATAAATCGACCAATACTTTAAAAATAAGTACATGTAGGAAGTATCATTTCATAAATTACATACCGTATTTTTTGGATTACAGGTCGATGGGTTATATAGGACAAAAGGCTCATTTTTAGCCTTAATTTTTGAAAAATCCTTAGATAGGACGAACTTACTATATAGGACGAGGCTTTTTTATCCATTTTCCAAAGAATTTTATGCAGATACAAAGTATGAGAACATGTAAACCTGTAAAATTACCTGAATAAATCAGTGACATGAACGTATCAAGAAAATAAACTGGTATTTTAACAAGTACAGCATTTAAATAAAGTTTTATGTAAATGTAGTATAAACCTTCCATCTGTGTTTTGTGTTTTGCAACATTAAAAACTGACAACTTCTGTCAAGATTCCAAAGATGACCAAAGTCAGAACTAGATTTATACATACAGGATATTTCCTCTTTATTTCTACACTGGTCCATACACTACACTCAATTTTAATGAAGCCAAAGGCTGGAAAAGCTAATGTAAGGGCAATTAATGTGCTGTGCATGAACTTAACGATATGGATCATAACTCAAAGATTATGAAATAACACAATTAAATTCGAAAGATGGTAAATATTAAGGTAATGGTGGAGTGGTAAAACCTTTGTTACTGTTACACACACTACACTCAATTTTCAACCTTGACACATATATATACAAATGACATTGTACAAGTTTTTTTTCTTTATTCATTTCAAATATATATCCCTCTTTATCTCACACCAACACATTAGCATTTACTGCTCCAGAAATATTCACTTTTCTTTTAGCATTAACAGAATTAATGACCATTAGCACTAAATCTTCCAGTATATATAAGATTCAACTGTATGTAAAGCTAAACTACACTTTAAAATACAACAGTTTAACATCTAAGATTCTTGGACAACATTGCATCTTATTGAAGAAAATTCTTTCAATTTTTAAAACTGCAAAAATTTAGAAATCAATCATTTTTTTCTTATTAAAGATTCACCATAACATTAAGCGTTAGAAAGTTGTGCAAACATCCTTTGCATTAGAAATCTTACCTAACCATAAGAACATTAAATACTAACATCCTTATCATCCAATGCACTATAGAAAAGAAATTTGAGCATGAATTACTCTGAGTTTCTTTAATATTTTCACAGGTTAGTAAACTGGTGTTGGTGGAGTGGTAGTACCTTTGTTTTACACTGGTCCACACGCCACACTTTATTTTCAACCTCTGCCAAATCTTAGATACAAATGACATTATATCATTTTTTTTCCTTGTTTGACTCCACAATATATTCTACTTATTCTGACACCACAATAGTATATTCTACTTTTTCTCACACCACAAAATTTTCGACCTCTGCCAAAACTTAGACACAAATGATACAATATTATGTTTTTCCTTGATTGACTCCACAATGTATTCTTATTCTCACACCACAGGATTTTCAACCTCTGCCTAATCTTAGATACAAATGACTCTTTATCATTTTTTTCCTTGTTTGACTCTACAATATATTCTACTTATTCTCACCCCACAGTATCTTTGACCTCTGCCAAAACTTAGATACAAATGACACTTTATCTTTTTTTTTCCTTGTTTGATTCCACAATTTCTTTTACCAATTCGCACATCACAGCAACATATTCTACTTATTCTCACACCACAATATCTTCAACCTCTGCCAAAACTTAGATACAAATGACACTATATCATTTTTTTTCCTTGTTTGGCTCCACAATATATTCTAGTTATTCTCATGCCACAACATGTGAAGCTTACTACACCACAAATCTGAACTTACCATTAAGCAAGGTTTACACCACAATACAATCTCTTGAATTGAAAACAATACTAGAAGATCAAACCAACATATTTTTGATTATTCATTTTTCTGGTTTAAATACAAGCCACCTAACAAAAATCAATAGACACTTTTGTTAATATAATTCACACAGCAGATATAAAGTTACCATACACACTTTTACTTCTTACATCCTTATTATCCGATGCACTAAAGAAAAGAAATTTGAGCAAGAAATACTTTGAATATGTTTTATATATTTTCCTAGGTTGGTAAATAAGGTGTTGGTGTAGTGGTAGTACCTTTGCTTTACACTGTTCTATTATACACACCACACTCAATTTTCAACCTTAACACATATATTTTCAACCTTGACACATATATACAAATGACATTGTACAAGTTGTTTTCTTTATTTCATTTCAAATATTTATCCCTTTTTCTCTCACAGCAACACATTAACATACACTACTCCAGAAATATTCACTTTTCATTTAGCATAAACTGAATTAATAACCCAATAGCACTGAACCTCCCAATTTAAATAAGATAAGCTAAACTCCACTTTAAAATACAACAGTTTTACAGCCAAGCTTCTGGACAACATTGCATCTAATCAAAACATTTTTTTTAGTTTTCTCATTAAAATAGCATCATTAAATAAAGCATTAGAAATTGTGTTAACATCCTTTGCATTAGAAATCTTACTAAACCATAAGAACATTAAATACTAACATCCTTATCATCCAATGCACTATAGAAAAGAAAACTGAGCATGAATTACTCTGAGTTTCTTATATATTTTTCAGAGGTTGGTAAGTAAGGTGTTGGTGGAGTGGTAGTACCTTTGTTTTACACTGGTCCACACGCCACACTCAATTTTCAACCTCTGCCAAAATTTAGATACAAATGACACTATATCATTTTTTTTCCTTGTTTGACTCCACATTATATACTTCTTATTCTAATACCACAGCAATATATTCTACTTATTCTCACACCACAGCATTTTTAACCTCTGCCAAAACTTAGAGACAAATGACACTATATCATTTTTATTCCTTGCTTGACTCCACAATATGTTTTTCTTATTCTCGCATCACAGCAATATATTCTACTTATTCTCACACCACAGCATTTTTAACCTCTGCCAAAACTTAGATACAAATGACACTATATTATTTTTTTTCCTTGATTGACTCAACAATATATTCTACTTATTCTCGCATCACAGCAATATATTCTACTTATTCTCACACCACAACATTTTTAACCTCTGCCAAAACTTAGATACAAATGACACTATATCATTTTTATTCCTTGTTTGACTCCACAATATATTCTACTTATTCTCGCATCACAGTAATATATTCTACTTATTCTCACACTACAACATTTTTAACCTCTGCCAAAACTTAGATACAAATGACACTATATCATTTTTTTTCCTTGTTTGACTCCACAATATACTCTACTTATTCCCGCATCACAGTAATATATTCTACTTATTCTCACACTACAACATTTTTAACCTCTGCCAAAACTTGGATACAAATGACACAATATCATTTTTATTCCTTGCTTGACTCCACAATATATTTTACTTATTCTCGCATCACAGCAATATATTCTACTTATTCTCACACCACAGCATTTTCAACCTCTGCCAAAACTTAGATACAAATGACACTATATCATTTTTATTCCTTGTTTGACTCCACAATATATTTTACTTATTCTCGCATCACAGCAATATATTCTACTTATTCTCACACCACAACATTTTCAACCTCTGCCAAAACTTAGATACAAATGACACTATATCATTTTTATTCCTTGTTTGACTCCACAATATATTCTACTTATTCTCACGCCACAACATGTGAAGCTTACTACACCACAAATCTGAACTTACCATTAAGCAAATGTTAAGAAATGGTTTACACCACTATACAATCTTTAGACTTGAAAACAATAATAGAAGATCAAACCAACATATTTGTGATTATTCATTTTCCAGCTCTTTTAAACACAAGCCACCTCACAAAAATCAGTAGACACTTTCGTTAATATTATTTACACAGCAGATATAAAGTTTCCATACACACTTTTACTTCTTACATCCTTATCATCCGATGCACTATAGAAAAGAAATTTGAGCAAGAAATACTTTGAATATGTTTTATATATTTTCCTAGGTTGGTAAATAAGGTGTTGGTGTAGTGGTAGTACCTTTGCTTTACACTGTTCTATTATACACACCACACTCAATTTTCAACCTTAACACATATATTTTCAACCTTGACACATATAAACAAATGACATTGTACAAGTTTTTTTCTTTATTTCATTTCAAATATTTATCCCTTTTTCTCTCACAGCAACACATTAACATACACTACTCCAGAAATATTCACTTTTCATTTAGCATAAACTGAATTAATAACCCAATAGCACTGAACCTGCCAGTTTATATAAGATCCAACTGTATGTAAAGCTTATAAACTCCACTTTAAAATACATTTTTTCAGCCAAGCTTCTCGGACAACATAGCATCTAATCAAAAAATTTTTTTAGTTTTCTCATTAAAAAAGCATCATTACATAAAGCATAAGAAATTGTGCAAACATCCTTTGCATTAGAAATCTTAACTAACCATAAGAACATTAAATACTAACATCCTTATCATCCAATGCACTACAGAAAAGAAAACTGAAGATGAATTACTATGAGTTTCTTGAATATTTTTCAGAGGTTGGTAAATAAGGTGTTGGTGGAGTGGTAGTACCTTTGTTTTACACTGGTCCACACGCCACACTCAATTTTCAACCTCTGCCAAAACTTAGATACAAATGACACTATATCATTTTTATTCCTTGTTTGACTCCACAATATGTTCTACGTATTTTGCATCACAGCAATATATTCTACTTATTTTCGCATCACAGCAATATATTCTTCTTATTCTCACACCACAACTTTTTTAACTACTGCCAAAACTTAGATACAAATGACATTATATCATTTTTTTTCCTTGTTTGACTCCACAATATATTCTACTTATTCTCACGCCACAACATGTAAAGCTTACTACACCACAAATCTGAACTTACAAATAAGCAAATGTTAAGAAATAGTTTACACCACAATACAATCTTTAGACTTGAAAACAATAGAAGATAAACCAACATATTTTTGATTATTCATTTTCTCGTTTAAATACAAGCCACCTCACAAAAATCAATAGACAGTTTTGTTAATACTATTTACACGGCAGATATAAAGTTACCATACACACTTTTACTTCTTACATCCTTATCATCCGATGCACTATAGAAAAGAAATTTGAGCAAGAATTACTTTGAATATGTTTTATATATTTTCATAGGTTGGTAAATAAGGTGTTGGTGTAGTGGTAGTACCTTTGCTTTACACTGTTCTATTAAACACCACACTCAATTTTCAACCTTAACACATATATTTTCAACCTTGACACATATAAACAAATGACATTGTACAAGTTTTTTTCTTTATTTCATTTCAAATATTTAATCCCTTTTTCTCTCACAGCAACACATTAACATACACTACTCCAGAAATATTCACTTTTCATTTAGCATAAACTGAATTAATAACCCAATAGTACTGAACCTGCCAGTTTATATAAGATCCAACTGTATGTAAATTTAAACTCCACTTTAAAATACATTTTTTCAGCCAAGCTTCTTGGACAACATAGCATCTAATCAAAACATTTTTTTAGTTTTCTCATGAAAAAAGCATCATTACATAAAGCATAAGAAATTGTGCAAACATCCTTTGCATTAGAAATCTTAACTAACCATAAGAACATTAAATACTAACATCCTTATCATCCAATGCACTACAGAAAAGAAAACTGAAGATGAATTACTCTGAGTTTCTTTAATATTTTTCAGAGGTTGGTAAATAAGGTGTTGGTGGAGTGGTAGTACCTTTGTTTTACACTGGTCCACACGCCACACTCAATTTTCAACCTCTGCCAAAATTTAGATACAAATGACACTATATCATTTTTATTCCTTGTTTGACTCCACAATATGTTCTACTTATTTTCGCATCACAGCAATATATTCTACTTATTCTCACACCACAACTTTTTAACCTCTGCCAAAACTTAGATACAAATGACACTATATCATTTTTTTTCCTTGTTTGACTCCACAATATATTCTACTTATTCTCACGCCACAACATGTAAAGCTTACTACACCACAAATCTGAACTTACAAATAAGCAAATGTTAAGAAATAGTTTACACCACTATACAATCTTTAGACTTGAAAACAATAGAAGATAAACCAACATATTTTTGATTATTCATTTTCTCGTTTAAATACAAGCCACCTCACAAAAATCAATAGACAGTTTTGTTAATACTATTTACACGGCAGATATAAAGTTACCATACACACTTTTACTTCTTACATCCTTATCATCCGATGCACTATAGAAAAGAAATTTGAGCAAGAAATACTTTGAATATGTTTTATATATTTTCCTAGGTTGGTAAATAAGGTGTTGGTGTAGTGGTAGTACCTTTGCTTTACACTGTTCTATTAAACACCACACTCAATTTTCAACCTTAACACATATATTTTCAACCTTGACACAACATTGTACAAGTTTTTTTCTTTATTTCATTTCAAATTTTTATCCCTCTTTCTCTCACAGCAACACATTAACATACTCTATTCCAGAAATATTCACTTTTCATTAAGCATATACTAATTAATAACCCAATAGTACTGAACCTGCCAGTTTATATGAGATCCAACTGTATGTAAAGCTAAACTCCTTTTTAAAATACAACAGTTTTACAGCCAAGCTTCTTGGACAACATTGCATCTAATCAAAACATTATTTTTTTTTATTTTCTCATTAAAGAAAGCATCATTACATAAAGTATTAGAAATTATGTAAACATCCTTTGCATTAGAAATCTTAACTAACCATAAAAACATTAAATACTAACATACTTATCATCCAATGCACTATAGAAAAGAAAACTGAGCATGAATTACTCTGAGTTTCTTTAATATTTTTCAGAGGTTGGTAAATAAGGTGTTGGTGGAGTGGTAGTACCTTTGTTTTACACTGGTCCATACGCCACACTCAATTTTCAACCTCTGCTAAAACTTAGATACAATTGACACTATATCATTTTTTTTCCTTGTTTGACTCCACAATATATACTTCTTATTCTAATACCACAGCAATATATTCTACTTATTCTCACACCACAACATTTTTAACCTCTGCCAAAACTTAGATACAAAAAATGACATTATATCATTTTTATTCCTCGTTTGACTCCACAATATGTTCTTCTTATTCTCGCATCACAGCATTATATTCTACTTATTCTCGCATCACAGTAATATATTCTACTTATTCTCACACCACAACATTTTCAACCTCTGCCAACACTTAGATGCAAATGACACTATATCATTTTTTTTCCTTGATTGACTCCACAATATATTCTACTTATTCTCGCATCACAGCAATATATTCTACTTATTCTCACACCACAGCATTTTTAACCTCTGCCAAAACTTAGATACAAATGACACTATATCATTTTTTTTCCTTGATTGACTCCACAATATATTCTACTTATTCTCGCATCACAGCAATATATTCTACTTATTCTCACACCACAACATTTTTAACCTCTGCCAAAACTTAGATACAAAAAATGACATTATATCATTTTTATTCCTTCTTTGACTCCACAATATATTCTACTTATTCTCGCATCACAGCATTATATTCTACTTATTCTCACACCACAGCATTTTTAACCTCTGCCAAAACTTAGATACAAATGACACTATATCATTTTTTTTCCTTGTTTGACTCCACAATATATACTTCTTATTCTAATACCACAGCAATATATTCTACTTATTTTCACACCACAACATTTTTAACCTCTGCCAAATAAAACTTAGATACAAATGACACTATATCATTTTTATTCCTTGTTTGACTCCACAATATGTTATTCTTATTCTCGCATCACAGCAATATATTCTACTTATTCTCACACCACAACTTTTTAACCTCTGCTAAAACTTAGATACAAATGACACTATATCA